TACATTGTTTTGAAGCTAATCTAGGATATCACAGACATGACTTCCATAAATATTTCAGTTTGAATCTCTAAAAGAGAAGGACTGGAAATAATTGACTACCTTCTTTCCTCTTTCCACTAAAATATCCCAAATAAATAAATTTCCATGGGTCAATAAAGTACCTTTACCCTCCCCAAGAATGTCCCAAATTGTGCCCCAAATTATGGGATGTTCTTTTTAAGATATTAATCTCATGAGAGTCCTTTTCTAACCAAAGATCCTCCTATGATACTAATGTTCACCTTTTTTTTTTAAAGTATGTTTTTATTGATTTTTAGAGATAGAGGAAGGGAGAAGAATAGAGAGATATGAACATCAGTGAGAGAGAAACATCACCAATGGCTGCCTCCTGAACACCCAAACTGGGAATCAAGCCTGCAACTTGTGCATGTGTCTTGGACCAGGAATCGAACCAGTAATCTCTTGAATCCTGAGTTGATAACTCAACCTCTGAGCCACACTGGCTGGGCAATGGAAAGTTGTGTTTGTTTTTAATTGATTCTAGAGGAAGGGAGAGGGAGAGAGAGACATCAATGTGAGAGAGATGATGTTCACTTTTATCTTATACTGAACTTTCCAAATAAGAGGCTAAAATATAGCTTTCTCTATCAATATGGGGGAAGAACAAAAAATAAACCTCAAGCTCCAGCCAGTATGACTCAGTGGATAGAGTGTTGGCCCATGGACTGAAGGGTCTCAGGTTAGAATACAATCAAATACACATACCTCAGTTGCAGGCTCAATTCCCAGCCCAGTCAGGGTACACACAGGAGGCAACCAATCAATGTGTCTTTCTCACATCAATGTTTCTATCTTTCCCCTTCCCTTCCACTCTCTCTAAAAATCAATGGGAAAATATTCTTGGGAGAGGTTTATTTATTTATAAAAATAAATAAAATAAAATAAAATAAAATAAAATAAAATAAACCTCAAGTTCTCAGGAACACCAGTCTAAAAAAGTAAGTCAGAAAGCAATAGCGTTCACTCTCAGTATCTTAAATAGACCCTGAAGGAAGCACAAAAACTAGTAAATAAATGGGCATTCAATAATTATCAATGGGAAAGCCACTGTTCACCAAATTCATGTAGGAAGCTAGATGCACATTGGTCAGTGGCAAAACAAAGGCACTCTTCACCAACCTGGTAATCTACTACAAAAATAAATAGAAGAAAAGGAAGAATTATAATGGAACCAGAATATAGGTGACAATAGGGGAGAATAAAGAGTTAATGAGGTCTAAAATTACATATATTTTCCTGAGTGGGATAGTGGAGAAATGAATCAAAGCCTGAAAGACATAACTTTTCGTAGTTACACAGAAAAAGGACCAGGAAAAACCTGGTCTCTTGATTTCTAATGCATTATGATGTCCCCCTCAAGGAAGACCAGAGATGCTTACTGTGAAGATTCCTTCCTCCCATAAGACAGGATTTGTGGCATTGTTGGTTGCTGAAACAGGCCTTGACAGTTGAATATAATGTGAGAAATGGAAACGTGTGAATGTTTCCGATAAACAGCATAAACAGGTTTTGTGATATATTCTGACAAGACACACTATCTGGTTTGCCTGACATGTAGGGACAAATATAGGCAGTGATGAGGAAAGGACAAAAAGTTACGTTGTGATCAGATAAGACAGGGGCTCAAATGCCAGGTCAAGTTGAAGGCTCTCAAGAATAACAAAAATTCTTTAGTTTGAAGGCAAAGAGTGAAGAAAACACCATGATTTATGTTTAAGGGTCACTGGGATCAACACAGATTATAACCTTTATATATTTCATTCTAATACATTGTGCTTACTATTAATGCTTAGGAAAGCATTTTCTAAGGAGAGCTTTCCATTTGTTTAAGAAATGGGCGTGAAGGCACCAAGGGGTGAGAGGCAGGGATTTACTCAAGGGACAGGCATGAGGAAGTGAATTGTGCAGCGAACAGGCTGTGCAGATTCTTCCGTGGATCAGGAACCTGGAAACGGAATGATGAGAATTGGTGGTTAACAGCCACAACCTGCAGCTGACAGCCTCATACCTGGGACTGGAGAAGAAATGGCACAGAAGACAGCAGGAAAACCTTCAGGGAAACTATACACCCCACCCCCACCGCCCCCGCAGAGCGTTTGAAATGAGTTTCTATTATGATCTCTGTTACCTTCTATTTTTAAATAGATATCAATACCATAGAAAAAAAAACTCAGTCACAAATTCTAATGGGAGTAGATTGGGAGGTCCTTTTAGATGCCAGAATGTTTCTTAGCCAAAAAAGTACTTCCAAGGATACTACGAATAATTAGTATGATTGAAACGCCCAAATTCAGTGTTCTAAGAGGAGCAGTCAGAAAAAGCTTATCCTGTGAAGCAAGACAAACTTGAATTTGAATCCCATGTTTTCTGCTTACTACCGTGTTTCCCTGAAAATAAGACATCCTCCGAAAATAAGACCTAGCGCAACTTTGGGAGAAAAAATTAATATATTTAAGACACTGTCTTATTTTCAGGGAAACAGAGTAGTTGAGTAATCGTGGGCAACTTATTTAACCTCTCTAACATCACTGTGCCATCTATAAAAGTAGAGAATACCTAAGATCATAGTTACAGAGAGGATTAATAACATAACATGTGGAAATGCTTTCCTACGAAGTATCTAGTCTACAACTAATGTTTGTTTCTTCCTTCTTGGTGAAATCAGTTCCAGATATAAAGGAAATTACTAATAAACAAACATCCTGTAAGCTTCCCAAATATCCTATATGCTTCCAAGTTCAACTTCCTTTATTAAAACTTGTACAACTATTAATAGAAAAATAGATTCATTTCCTTTTTCTTTCTGTTTGTTTTTTTGTTTTTGTTTTTTGCTACTCACAACTCTGTGAATATATTGAAATGCATTTAATTGAATAATTTAAATTGGGGAATTGTTTAGTATATGAATGAATATGGGTACTAAGGAACAAACACAAAAGTGTCAGACACATACACTTAAAAAGAATGAGAACAACTTGTATAACATAGTAGTAAAAAGAAAAATAACCCCTTTTTTACAATGAGCAAAAGGTTTATTTAAATAGAGATATTTCTAAAGAAGACATGCAAATGGTCAACAATTACATAAAAGATGATCAACAGCATTTGTCATTAGAGAAATGCATATCAAAACCACAATGAGGTACCACTTTACAACCACTAAGCTAGTATAATCAGAAAAGACAGACAAGTGTTGACAAAGTTGTGGAGAAAATGAGAATCCTCATACACTGCTGTTGGGAATGTAAAATGATGTAGCCACTTTGGAAATCTGTTTTGCAATTCCTCAAAATTTTAAACAGAGTTACCATATGATGCAGCAATTCCACTCCTAGATATATACCCCAAAAGAACTGAGACCATAGGTTTGCACAAAAACATGTACACTATTGTTCACAGTAGCATTATTCACAATAGCCAAGAATTAGAAACAACCCAAGTGCCCACCAACTGGTTAATAGGCAAATAAAAGTGGCATATTCATACAGTGAAATATCATTCAGTTAAAGAAAAAGAATAAAATATTTATAAGAAAAATTGAACCTTGAAACATTATGCCAAGTGAAAGAAGCCAGGCACAACAGGTCACATTGCATGCTTTCATTTATATAAGACTAGAGGCCTGGAGCATATAATTCATACACTAGGGGTTGGGGGGGTTCCTCAGCCCAGCCTGTGCCCTCTCACAGTTTAGGAGCCCTTGGAGGATATGTCTGACTGATGGATTAGGCCCACTCCCTGCTGCCATGGAGGCGGGAGAGGCTCCCGCCATTGCCACGGCTGCGCTTGTTAGCTGTGAGCCTGGCTTCTGGCTGAGCAGCGCTCCCCCTATGGGAGTGCACTGACCACCAGAAGGCAACTTCTGCATTGAGCAATCTGGTGGTCATTCCACCATTCGATTTGCATATTACCCTTTTATTATATAGCATATCCAGAATAGGCAAACCTACAGAGACAGAAGTAGATAAGTGGTTGTCTAAAGATTAGAGTTTTTGGGAGGGGGAGTAATAAGGAGAGACTGTAAATAGGTTAATAGATAACTGTTAAAGTTTCTTGATGAGGTGAACAAATGTATTTAAATTTATCACAGTGATGGTTGCACAACTCTGTGAATATATTGAAATGTATTTAATTGAATAATTTAAATTGATGAATTGTTTAGTATATAAATGAATGTGGATTTTCAGACCCTGAAATAGAACCGTCTGCTCCATTTGATTGAAAAGCTCATGGAGCTTAGACTGTAGACCAAAGAAGAAGCTCAAGATACATTTTCATGTCCTGGGGAGCTCACCTAAGTGACCTTAGCCCTTTAGTGTTCTTCTCTTCTTGGGTGGAGAAGCACCGTTAGCACATTACTGCAGCAAATGTGATATTCTCTGGTTATTACTCTACTGTATGATTTTTTTACAAAGTACCAGCACTTCAAAGATCTAGCCTTGAGCTCAATTCTTAAAGTGTCAGTCGATGAAACCTGAGACTTCTTATTAGTCATTAGTAAATTTAAGTCCTAAACCAGCCTGCCTCTTAAACAAAAAGTTTAGCATGCTTCGTTAAAATTTTTTGATTATATATTCTTGAGTTTCTACTACAGAGTCATAGAAAAAAACACACACCAAATAACTGAATTTTAATTTCCTGCCTTCAAAGATTGACATTTTTTATGCATTTGAGCTTTGTGGTATAAGACTCATACTTGCTATAAGAGTATCCTTAATACAGTTGACCCTTGAACAACTCAGGGGTTAGGGGAGCCATCTACCTGCACAGATGAAAATACATAACTTAAGTCATTAGTATTTACAAAACACAAAACGAAATAAAAAATACACCCCCCCCAAAAAAAAAGAAAGAAAGAAAAATAAAGGAAAGATTAGCATAGAAAAGGACCAGGGTATAGTAGTCCTAAAAGTGAAGTTAAAATATAGTCCAATACTCACTTCCATACTTAGGTCTTCATTCATCCTGATGCAATTAGAAAGATCTGTTCCCGGGTAGGGGCCAATTGTAGGGCCTGGGAGCCTGGCAATAGAAAAATTTATTACTACAGGTGGGAAAATTGCACATTTCAGCAGCTACCAAACTACCATAGTTCCCCTTTACCCCGCCACCTCGGTTTCACCAAATTCCTATTTAAGTTCTATGGATTCATGGATTTCATAAGGTATAATGAAAGAGAGCTCCAACTGTCATTAGAGAGAGGTTATAAACTACAGAGAATCTAGCCAAAGATGAAAATGAAGAATTTGCAATTCAAAGTCTTGCTTCCTCACCCTCAATTCAGGAGAGACATGTCATTGGGGTGGATAGTGCCCATAAACTCCACTGCTGTTCCTGAGCTCTTCCTAGGAAAGGTCAGTCTGTTCACCGAGAAAGGTAATCGAGTACAGACGAGCTTCAGAGGAAGGTGTGTGAGAGAACAGGGATGGGTTCCGAAAGGCTGGAGAACCCTGAATGCCAAGGAATAAATGTGTGATCAACACCTGGCTAGGTGAACCTAGCAATGCATAGCATATTTCTGAACACTGAGGAACATTTTAGGCAGCCTAATTTTTTTGTCTCTTATCTTGCCAAGTGGATATTATGAAATTCAAAAGAACAAGAAAACTGCCCTTCAAGAAAACTACAGAGCCATTTTTGTTTTTAAAACTGTCAATGTTCAGAAAGTTAGAGAATTTTATACAAGAAAAGTTCCACAATAAAGATGTTACTATCTCAGGATATGAAAACCTAAGTGATTAAAAGGTTAGGCAACAGGAACAGGTGGCCCAAGAAGAGGAGGGTAGGTATATTTGGTATATTTTGCTCTTTTAACTTACTTGTGTGTTCTAGTCACATCCAAAGCACCATCCTCTATTTTTCCACATTTGGGCCTTTGACCTGAAGCATGGACTTGGTTAGCTATACATGAGAAAGGTGTCAGTGACGGTCTTAGGGTCAGTGTAAGACTATCCAGATGCAAGGCATCTGTAGCAGAACAGAAAAGAAAACAAATTTACTTTTGGTTTAAACTAATATGTATGTTTTCTTCCTCTCTCTTGAAATGGGAACCATTTCTGAAAAAGCAGAAGTCAATTCAATTCTATTAACACTTGAACATAACCCTCCCTTCCCTTGATGTGTCATTATACAGGGTAGAAATGCCAAGTGTTTGTTTGTTTTTTAAAGCAGGGAAAAAGAGGTGGGGTGGGTTCAGAAAACCCTTGTCTACTAAGCAACTAGGGGGGGGTCAAGGACCTGCAGCCAGAGGGCAAAATCCAGCCAGCTGTCTGTTTTTGTAAATAAAGTTTTACTGAAACACGGTCACACCCATTCATTCAGTATTGTCCATGGCTGCTGTGTTGAGTAGTTGCTACAGAAACCATATGGCATGTGAAACCTAAAATATTTACTATGTGGCCCTTTACAGAAATAATTTACTATCCCTAAAGAGAAAAGACATTGTGGTTGGAACCTGTCAGAGTAACAGACAGTTTTTGTTTTTGTTTGTCTTAATGACTACAGGAAATAGGAAAAAATATATAGGCTTTGGAATCAACCAACATTTTTTAGTTCAACTACTAATTATCTATCACATACCAGTTGTGTGATCTTGGATATATAAGCAAACCACTCTGAGCTTCAGTTTACTTACATATAAAGTGACACATGAGCTTAGGCTGATTAGTAACTCAATGTTTCTTATCTTCAAAATGGGAATTAAATTAGCATCTACCTCTAAGGGATGTGGTGAGAAGGAAATCGGTTAATAAACATGCGAAGAGCAGAAAACTGTGCTGTCCAGGTTGTTGTGTCGCTGTTATCACTGAGTTAATGTCAGTAAAATCACCTCTAGCACTGATCACTGTCCGACACCAAATGGCGATTCCATTGGTAGTGGCAGTAGTTTTCCTTTCCGTACTTGAGATGACCTACAAATCACTTCCTTTTCCTTCATCCTTAAGTTTATTTTGATAATCATCCTATTTTGCCATTTCCAAACTAGCCATTAACTTTTGCTTTAAACACAACCAGGTTGTGATCAGAGATGTCACTACTTTGAGCATTTCCCAAGATAAAGCTTTTTTTTTTTTCCTTTAGCCTAGCAATGAGCAGTGGTCCTCAGTTTAACCCACAACCTGCTCCACACTTAGATTCTACTGTGTCCCTATCCAACTCCTCTTTGTCCAAAATGACTTGTCCAGATTTGACTCTTCTTCAAGCACTTAGGAATTTGCATTCTTTGGGCTTGCATTCTTCCTCATTCATTGTCCCCAGTTGAAATAGTTTTCCCACGAGTCTTACTTTTCTAAATGCAACCCATATTTCAAGGCCTGGTTCAACTCTCTTTTCTTTTAGGGAGCCTTCTCTGAGCCCAGGTCTTATCTCACCAATAATCTGTGAGCTATATTAGGACTTATTATCAATTATACATAATATGGTGCCTTCTGAAATGTAAGTTGATGGACTAAATTCAGGGATAAGTATCCAAATATTCAGCAACTCTTCCTATACAAATAGAAATGTGATTACTTTCCTTTCTAAAATAACCCTAACCCAGCTCTGTCTGATAAGGTTTGGGAGAGGGGCTACCCAGGCTTACCGAGCAGGGGTGTGTACCAGCATGTACGTTTGAAGGTCAGGGGAGTCTTATGTATTCTTGCTTCTTGACCACTAGATTGTTTATGGCAACACTGCTTCTGAAAAGAAAATCAAGTAATATTAGCTATCTAAAGTAGTGCAACATAACACTTTATAATCTACTCTCTTCATCTCCAAAGGTAGAAAGAATATAACTGGTCTCAAATAACCCTGCAAGAGAAATCAGGAAGCAAATTAAGGATGCCCAGTAACAAAGCTTTCATGACTTTGACCAAAGAGGATACTCTATGCATAAAGTATAATTGTTATTAAAAACCACAGTTCCATAACATAATTAATTCTCTTGTCTTTTTGAGGCAGCTTTGATGGACCTAGAGATTATTATGCTAAGTGAAATAAGTGAGTCAGAGAAAGACAAATATCACATGATCTCACTCATATGAACAAAAAGGTCCAGAGACATGGAAGCATGCAACAGACTGACAGATCTCAGAGGGAAGGATGGGGGGGGAAGAGATTAACCAAAAAATTTATATGCGTAACCCAGGGACACAGACAGTAGTGCAGTGAAGGCCTGGGGTGTGTGGGAGGCTGGCAGAGGGGGCAACGCAGGGGAAAATGGGGGACATCTATAATACCCTCAACAATAGAAATAAATTTTTCAAAATCACAGGTAAATAACTTTTAACAGAATGCTAATATAATCAATTCCCCATAACTGACACTTTCATATAAACAAAGGCTTTGAGGAAAGAGGTATGAGTGAAGGACAAGCTTAGTTATATAATTCTTCACAATACTACAATAAAAATATTTAAGCATCACCTTTTTTAGGGTCTACCGGGATTGTGTTCATGAACATGATCAAGAAAATAAATAGGTTTCCATCTGCGGTATAGAGTTCTAGGTCTTTTAATATATACTGGACTTAATTTTCTATTTTGGCATAGAGTTGATTCACAATGGCACTTACATTGTTTCAAGAAGCTTAAACTTACCAGTTGTTCTTGAAGATGTTGGTGAATTGTATCTGTCCAGGACAAAGGATCATAATGAGGAAATTCCTCATCTAAACAGCTCTGTAAAGAGAAAATTGTGGAGTGTTGTCAAAGACAGAATGGTGAAAGAGTCAAAGATAAAGAACATATTAGACTTAAGAGAGAGAATGCTACCTGAGGAGGGTGGAAATGACCAGTTCTTTATTGTGTGTTTTACTTTAAGAAAACAAGTTTGTAATTGTTAACCTCTCATTGCCAATTTCTCCATTACTAAAGAAATAAAGGCCAAAGGTCAGGAACAGAAAAACTGATTGGTCACTGAAATCTTTAGGTAGAGGCCAAAAAAGCTTGTTAGAAGACCTAACTCAGAATAGTAAAAATGGTGTCTATGAAAATTATATAGCAATAGAATCATGGCCTTAGTCCAAGAGGTAGCTACGTATCTATTATAGTTATGTTATAATAGAAAACTTTACTGGTGTTCTTAAAATGATTAAAGCATATTTAGATATGGAGGTTTTTCCAGTTTAACTTATTGCAGGGGCTTTTTAGGAACTCTGCCTAGCTTAATCTCCCACATGAATAAATCTTTTTTCCTGCTTAACCAGATGTGCCTACCTTATGGTCTGGAAACAGATACATGTGAATATCACCCTTCTCTCCTCCCTCCTCCAGTTCCTTATGTTTTTCATTTAGGAACAAAAAGAAGAAATTCACCAAGTGTCATAAGGAAAAGAAACACATTAAACTCCCCCATAGATATCTTGAGATATCTAGACAGGAGTTGAAAGCTTAATTCCCACAGGAGAAAAAAAGAGACAGTAACCATCAAATCCCATTCAAGTGTGTCATAAAGGAGTTGTCTGAGACTGAAAACTGGCCTTTTCTAACACAATAAGTTCGAAATGCCTACTCTTTGGAAATGCAATTAGCTTGCCTCCAACAAGCCATTCATTAATGCGAGCTCTTCCCTCTTGTTTTGCTAACCATGTTCAGTGCATAAGACAACAAAATCCACCATTTTCTTCTAAGTTGGTTACTTAATTTTATGATTAAAATTACTATCCATTATAAATTAGCTTTGGAACCTTGCACAGTTTGTACATCATTCCCACACTAAACACATATTATAAAGGTTTGTTTTATTTTCTTTCTTTCTTTCTTTCTTTCTTTCTTTCTTTCTTTCTTTCTTTCTTTCTTTCTTTCTTTCTCTTTCTTTCTTTCTTTCTTTCTTTTTTTTTTTTTTTTTTACCTGAAACAAGAAGCCATGGAGTTGTCCTTGGATTAACTTCTTTCTTAGTGACTTGATTGTTGCTGTAAAGAGAATTCATAGCCAGTTTAATATTTCAATTCATTTTCCCTTAATTTATTTCATAAACCTTTAACAGCCTTAAACAGCAGGGGGTGGGAGGGGGTGGAGGAAAGGCAAGAGAAAATTAGGAGTTCTGAGAGTGGCCTTCCCAACTGGCAACTTGTGAAAACAAAGCAACAGGAGAACAAAGCAGGAGGGAGCAGCAAAACCATTACCACCATCGGGTATTTAAACTTGACCTTGACAGATGCAAGTGAATTGTCTTCTAGATGTGAGTCTTAGGTTATTCAATCTTAAAATGGGAATACAACTTAGAGGTCATTCCCTGCCAATATGGAAATCCTTTCCACTAAGCCTGTGCTTGAGCTGTAAGGATGGGAGCCCTAGAAATAAGGCCTAGAATGCCGGAGTCCTACAAGCAGGTCTGAGATCATAGGAGCACTGATGCCCAGAGGATTTAAGTGATAACTGGTTATTCATGGAACTGAAATCAGACTCACAGTTCAATGCTGAATTCACCGCACTTTTTGTGAAATTAAAAATATGTGTCTGCTTAACTAAAATCTGCTTTTCAATAACTTCCAAATTCTCATCTCTAGAATAATGGAAATGAAAAAAAAAATACTATTTAACTTATTGAACTACATAGTAACATATTTCTTGTATGTTAATCTATACTCTTTGGAGATATAGCCGAGATCAGAAAATAGGCCCAAAGTTTTTGAACAACCAAAATAGAAGTTGATATCCATGCCTTTTCTTCATGTGGGAATACCTCACACTTCCACTCAGAAAGTGAGCTTTGAATTTATACATAATTCTCACAAACTGACTGTGTTCTCAGCCCACAGATGATTAAAAACAAAAATTAAATGAGGGTAGGAAGCTCTGTTAGATGGAGGCCTATTAATAGTTACCATTATTATTTTTTTAAAAACATCACTAACAGCTAAGAAAATTAGCAGCAGCTACTCTGGTGTCCAAAACACATCTTAAATTAAGTAAAAAACGTTTGATATTGCAATAGCCTGAAAATATTCTGAGCCATGAAAACAATGCTAATATATGTAAAAAATAAATACATAAGCTAATTAAAAGTCTTTAATTATGTATAAATTTACCCATGTAAAATTCTATTTTGTATGAGTATTTTTTAAAAATAATTTCTCAACTAAGCTTGAGATAGTGTTACTAGCCCCACTAAGAAGAAAGTGTATATTTTAAAACTATCTATATTTAAAAGCTAAGTGTCCTTCCTTCTTTCCTTCCGACCAGTAGCTATGATGAGCACTAACCACCAGGGTGCAGATGCTCAATCCAGGAGCTGCCATGACACACACTGGCCATTTAAAAATAACTGGCATCAAGAAACTGGCACCGACAAACCAACACTCGGCTTTTCCCAAGTGAGACCCAGCCCCTGTCACCACCCTGGAGCACCCCCTTCCAAATCACAGCAAATGCTGCCAAGATCCCATGGCACAAAATGCGGCCCACAGCCCAGCACTGGGTAACGATATCATATAGCAAAGGCAGACTTCCTCTTCCTAGTGATTAGTCTCCTGGTGTATCTTCAGGCCAGGTGTATCTTTATAGCCAGGTGCAAACATTTTAAAGTTCAACCAAATGTCTGTGAAGCATTTTCCCGTGCCTTATCTCATTTGATTCTCACAGAAGTCCTGGAATAAGTAGATAGGACACTCAGTAGAATCCTATTTTCTTTTCATTAGCAAAACAAGGGAGATTTAGAAAGTTTAGAAACTTGACCTGACTGAAAAGAAGTAAGAAATGGTGGACCTTGAAAATGACTTCAGGTTTTCTCACTGTGCAGAATATAGTCAAACACTGCAGCAGTTAAATATTTTACCCTTTTTTTCTACCTGCATGATCTTCAATAATAATCTGCTTTATGTTGATATTTACTGCTGTATTGCTGACCATTACCTAAAAGAGAAGTTGGGGTGCTTTCCCGGGCTGGCAAAAGTTTAGCTAAATCAGAAAGCAGATCTAATTAAGCAAGTTTATTCTCTCTATATAAAAGGCTAAACTGACTTGCGCATGCATGATACATATAAAGCTCTCACTGGTGCCAATCACACGCATGTGTTTTGATCTGTCATTGTTAATTGTCAATTTGGTTGACACTTCTATTATAGAGAAAGGCAAATAGCAGTATTAAAATATTTCTTCTAATTAATTTCCTTTCAATGTACATGAATCCATGCACCAGGAGATTAGTTTCTAACATATTTGAATCATTTAAACTTTTAAAAAATTCTTAATACTTAGAACTCTAATAAATATTCAATTTTTAAATATTCTCTGTGTCAACTATATTAAGAAATAAGGTGCCATCCTCCTCTTGACCTACATCTAAACAGCAACCAAAGCTTTCAGAAGTGGCTGGGAACATTATGTTTCTGAAGGTTGTATATCTCCAAAAACACTGTCTTTGAATTTCCAAATTAAGCTTGTTTCAGAAGAAATAACAAGTTAGTATAAGACTGTCTAAATTGCCCATCTGCTTTCCTGCGAGGCAATCTTGGGTTTTAGAAACAGTCCATCTCCAAACATTCAAATTGTAAACCTTATTTCAACAGATGCTTTGTGCAACGTGTAGCAACTATTTCCATATGTTTCACAAGGCAAAACAAGCTGGCTTATGACCCTAATTTGCATTCACCTTTGCGTTCTCCTTCATGTATCTGGAGCTGGACCTGCCATGTCTCTAGGACATTTTAGGCTTCATATGGAAGCAAGAAAAAATGGGCACTGCACCCCCTGCTGTTGCCATCTGTGCTGTAGGCTGGGACCAGGTGTCTTGGATACATTGCCTTTGGAAGAAGCTGAGATAAAATGGTTTTCTAAATGACTGTGCAATGAGGCTTTCAGGCAAAGGCCTGCAATTAATTGACTGTTTAAAACCAAAACCATAATATTAGAGCTGAAATAATTTTAGCTATCAATTATGGTTGACTTTTAGGGAGTTAAGGACTTTTATTACAATATATGTTACCTCATGTTCAATAAAATTGTGCATTAAAAATATCAGGGTTCATTGAAAACTACAATGATTTACAAGACATATATCTGTCAAAGGACTTACATGTGTTATGTAAAAAAATCCTGCAACTGCAGCACAATAACAAAAGGACAAATGTATTAATTTGAAAATGGGCAATGCCCAGCTGGTGTTGCTCAGTGGTTTAGTGTCCTTGTATGCACCATAGAGGTCACCCGTTCGATTCCCAGTCAGGGTATATGCCCAGGTTGTGACCTCAATCCCCGGTAGGGGACATGCAGGAGGCAGCCAATCGATGAGATGATGTTTCTATCTTTCTATCCCTCTCCTTTCTTCTCTTTCTAATTCAATAAAAATCTATATATTTTTTTAAATAGGCAAAAGACTTAGATACTTCATAAAGAAGATACAGCCAACCAGCCTAACAAATGAAAACCACAATGAGACACTCAGAAGAGTGAGGAAATTGTCAGTCTTTTGATTGACACCACCAAATGCTGGAGCTGTGGATCACCTCGAACTCCCACACATTGCTGGTGGGAGTGTGAAATGCTATAAACGCTATTGATGACTGCTTAGCAGTTTTTTGAAAAGTTAAGAATTCACACCTACACTATGACCTAGGTTAAATAAAAACATATGTCTAGCCCTAGCTTGTTAGGCTCAGTGGATAGAGCATCAGCCTGCAGACTGAAGGGGCCCAGTTTTGATTCTGGTCAAGGGCACAGACACAGATTGCGGGCTCTATTCCCAGGAGGGGGGGCGGGTATTAAGGGGGCAGCCGATCAATGATTCTCTCTCATCACTGATGTTTCTATCTCTCTCCCTCTCCCTTCCTCTCCACAATCAATAAAAATATATTTTTAAAAATACACGTCCACACAAAGACCCATTCATGAATATTCATAGCATCTTTCTCTGTAACAACCAAAAAAACTGTATAATTTAGATGTCCAAATAGGAAAAAAAAAATTATGGAATGTTCATACAGAGACTTACAACTAAGCCATGAAGAAGGCATACCACTGATAAACACAACATGGATAAATATTATGCTGAGGGAGAGTAGGCAGGCATATACAAAGTACTTACTGTATAACTCAATTCCAGAATAGGCTGAACTAACCCGTCAGTGACAGAGATCAGGTGAGTGGTAGCTCCTTGTGGTGGTGAAGGTGGGAATGCGGGAGGAGGGAGGGTTGACTGGCAAGCGCACAGGAGAGCTTTCTGAGGTTATAGAAATCCTGTGTTTTCATGTGCATTTGTCAAACTGGTTGCACAGTAAAGTTAAGATCTGAACTTTTTATGGTATGTGCATTATTCATCCACAAAAAATAATTTTAAAACTAGAACAAGAACAAAAATAGCAGGGTTGATGAGTTTGAGGTAGGGAGAAATCAGAGCACTCACAAACACAGTCACTGAGTTATTAGTACCCAGGAAGTAACTTAGGTCACTGAGACGTGCATGGGAAAATGGCCAAAGACTGCAACACAGGATACCAGATACTGTTGAGCCGGTGCTGGCAGGTGCTAATAAAATGCTGATGGACACTGACAACATCTTGCCATACTAGCAGTCAGCAGCTGTGCATAGCTGCAGGTTGCCCAGGACCAAACCAGAGACGGTTGGACCTACATTACCACCATTTGTCCACCCACCAGAACTGAAATGTCATGGCTGACATGTACACATAAGGAACTGTTTGACATTGAAATTGGGACTCAAAAGAACTGTTGGCCCAGAGAGAAACTCACTAAAGACTGATTCGTTTGCTTCTCAGCATAATCATTATTTTTAAAAATATATATTTTATTGATTTTTTACAGAGAGGAAGAGAGAGGGATAGAGAGTTAGAAACATCGATGAGAGAGAAACATCGATCAGCTGCCTCTTGCACATACCTCACTGGGGATGTGCCCACAACCAAGGTACATGCCCTTGACCGGAATCGAACCCGGGACCTTTCAGTCCGTAGGCTGACGCTCTATCCACTGAGCCAAACCGGTTTCGGCAGCATAATCATTATTGCTTGTCTCATTTTCAGTTCTTACAAGTGTATTTCTAGTATCACATGATCTCACTCATCTAGGGGAATAGTGAACAACATAAACTGATGAACAAAAACAGACCCGGAGACAGGGAAGCATCTATCAGACTGTCAAATCTCAGAGGGAAGGTAGGGGAGGGTGGAGGTAAGGGGGAGAGACCAACCAAAGGACTTGTATGCATGCATATAAGCCTAACCAGTGGTCATGGACAACAGAGGGGTGGGGGCATGCGTGGGAAGGGGTTTGGGATAGGAATGGGGGGATGAGGACAAATATGTGATACCTTAATCAATAAAGAAATTATAAAAAATTGCTGATGGCAGTGGGACTCTGAGGCAGGGCGGCTGCAAAAGTGAATACAGTCAGCCACAAGCCAGTGCCCCGCAAGGCAGGGGCATTGCTTCTCTGGGGAGCGAGGCTCAGGAGCAGACACTTGTTTTGAATATTCTTAAAAGACGGCAGAAAGGGCTCCTGCTGCCTGCCAGCAGCCAAGGAAGGTCATAGTTCTATTCCTTCCAACCAGATCTTATTCCCAGGGAAATGGTGAGTACAACAATCTAACTTCAATAGTAAACGAACATGCCACTACCCATCTGCCAATCATGAATGAGGCAATTAACATGACAGGAATATGCCCTGCAGAACAGACTGCACCAAGTCTGACCAAGCACTAGTGACTGTTTCACATTTGTTATGTGACTTATAAATGAGAACTGCTGCATTTTCTGGAAGAGGACACTGAGGCTCTGAGAGGTAATGTTATTTTCCCAACTCTCTCCAGGTTCTCTTTGGCAGGAGTTTAACGTCAAATCCCATGCTCTTAATCATTAAGTTATGCTGTTCCCTAGGTTACTTCATCATACCAGCACCCTTCATTTGGGAAAATTTAGGACTCCATCCCATTCGAAGTGTTGAGAGAGCTATATCTGACTTTGGTTTTCTCCTTGGCTCACATTTCAACACCTGTCCTAAAGCCATGGTTGGCAAACTGCAGCTCTCGAGCCACATGCGGCTCTTTGGCCCCTTGAGTGTGGCTCTTCCACAAAATACCACGATCTGATATTTTGAGAGACAATTTTAGGGGAAGTAGTGTTAGAAGAAGTTTAAAAAATTTGGCTCTCAAAAGAAACTTCAATTGCTGTACTGTTGATATTTGGCTCTGTTGACTAATGAGTTTGCCGACCACTGTCCTAAAGTGTCTCCTTCACCTGAATGCCCCATCTCTTGTCTCATTTCCCTCTTGAACTACCTGCTGAGGTCTCACCTTTCATCCCTGTGCAAAGTTGTAAGCCTGTTGTCTGTCCCATATCTCATGACCTCCATGCTAAGAATAGCAAGCTAGAAGAGTTTCCAGTGAGATAATCTAGAATGAAAGCCTTCTCTAAACTATACAGTTCGTACATTGACACTGTTCAAAAAAAGAGTTATAATAAACAAAACCTTCTCAGGCTCTCTCCCCAAGGAAATATTCTTGATTTCTAACGGTAATTCTCTCGTTGTCTATTAAATGAATGACTCAATGATCATTTCATGTTAGATAGGAAAGAAAAAAAAAGGATGAATAGTAAAGAGGTTATGGTTTAGATTAGATCAATCAGTGTATGTTTCATGTTAGATTCACCCTAGTAGGTTGAGTGCACACCCTGGATCTAAGATATTTTTATTCCCTTTTTAAAGTAAACATCAATCTACTCATCCAGTATTGGCCTTGTAACAGATACTTAGGTACACGCAAAGGTAAAAAGCAGAAGAAAACATATAAGTAACCATTTAAGAAGTTTAGCAGTTCTAATGGCACAGTTCATGGAGGCAAGCACTTATGCTGGTTATGTCGCAAATCAGTCCAGTCCTGGTGGCAAACTGAAAAGTTGAACAATATTATTCATTAAAGCACTAAGTTCAGAATCTATAGTCAAATGGCATAAACAGTTTCCTAGTTCCAGTTTGTGACCACTGTCACTGCCCTGAGCGGATGCACAAAACAACAGAATCCCCACACCATTTGCTAGTGAGCCCTTCTTAGATGGAACAGCAAGGAGTTGCTTTAAATACGTAATGGCTTTATTAAGTTAACCAGGAAGTTTCAGAAGGACCAATGGATTTCAATATTTTTATTTTCTGACCCAGAATTTAAATGTTGACTCAGAACTCAAACAACATGTGGTGGTAGCGGTCATGGGAGAAGGTGCGAGGATGCTTGTGTGGTCACCATCTTACCTCCATGACATTTGTCCAATATGTCTGGGAAGCCTGCTCTATAGAACTTGTCAAAGTATCTACTACCTAAGTTTCCCTCTTCTTGCAAAGGTTGATTTTTAAACGAATTATTAGGAAGACCTTCAAAAGCAAATGGTTGTAAGAGTATAATCTTAACATGTTTGCCTTCTTTATGTAACAAAAAGTACAGTTAAATAGAGAGATTCCTAAAGCCCAGCAGGTTGTGGGCATCTAGGGACATAAAGGAGACATCCACCCTACTTTATCCATCCCAAAGGAAATGCATGCATTCAACTCAGGGCAGCTGGGTTGAATAGTTTAATTATTTTAATAATATTTGGACCAATTATCTCCTGAGGATAAACTAGGAAGACAGTAGTAAGTTCATAATATCAGGAATGTATATTGTTTGAGATAAGTTACAAAAGTTGACTTCCAAGAAGAAATCATGGGAGCTTGGGAGGAGTGATAAATTCTTAATTTTATAAAATATGGGGGTGGTGGTGTATAGTATCGATTTAATCAAAAGATAAATATAACTGAACCAAAAGACTAGTCCTTTTAGCCTAGTGTCCAAAGCAAACACATCATAAATCAGATTTGATCATTGTTCATGCCTTCAACATGAACACTTCTAATCCTAAAAGGACCTTCTTTGCGGCCCTCTGGGCAATATTAAAATAACACACAGATTGTGTCATTCAAAGCAAGCCTTATGTTGTGTGACAGAGTGAAATAACGTAATCCAGTACTTAGAGTTATTAAAAGCTAGCAAGTTCTCCAGGTTTAAAAATGCTAATAAAATGTTGCATAACCACTGCTACTTTAAAACTAGCTAGTTCCTTTAAACTCTTATCTCAGATAACAATAGAAAGGGTACAAGGAATCCAAAATAAACACATCTGAGGCGTTCCATCTTAGGCTTGCCTTACGCTTATAGTTTGTTGTTTATTATCCAAACCAATAGCTTCCTATAAAAAGAACGTTTATACTTAGAACAAGAAGCTGGCTGAACAAAAGCAATTGTCCGACACATGGTCAAATAAATAAGCTTTATATGTTTATGATGGCTTCCCCCCCCCCCCCCCACATTTTTAGAATAACATAAACTTATAAATAATCTGACTTCTGCAATTTGACAGTTATCTTCTCACCTAAATCCTTAGTCAACACTTACCCCCACTTTTAGGTAATAGAGAAAGACGAAAAAATATTCTAACTTGTAAAGCAAAAATATAGATGTAAAGAATACATTTTAAAAGAAGGCCCACACATATTTAATATTTTAACGCACATTAAATTCATAAGTACTTTGTCCAAATCTTAAATAACCGCTTTAAAGAAAACAGAGAGTAAGGGTCTTTCCTACCACACGATGGGTCCAAACTAGCTCATAAAACCAGGGCAGAATCCATAAACAATATGCAGGTTCAAATATCCCAGGCAAACAAGATCCCGCCCCCCTTGTTTACTTTTACAGATATTGAGAAGTTTCATTTGATTTTTAAAGCATTAACAGTCCCAGACAAATTTAGCAACCGAAAGGAAAGCCAGTGGTGAAAGCAATCGACCTCGCTACCAGGCAAATGCCTCCGAACGCCCACAGGACGCCTTCTGAAACCATTTCATTGTCATACATGCCTCACTAATACAGCAGCTCTCATCTCTAAAAATGGCTGCAGTCTTTTCCCCCCACCTCAGAGGGGACGAAACGGGCCCATCGCAAATATTTGCTACTCACTTTTCGGTTTCCTTGTCTTCTGCTCCAGGGCCTGGCAAGTGCACACTAGCTCGGTATTTATAGTCTGGAGACTCAGTTGTTCTGAAATTGCTTCCTCCAATGGATGCAGCGAAGACTTCGCCTCTTCCCTGGCACAGTGGGCTGTGCCCTCTCGGTCCTCACCCTGGAGGCATACAGTTAATACTGGATTTTTCACACTGTGTCCCGGAAAGAAAGCAATTGAGCGCACGCTCTTATGCACAGGAAACTGCAAATGTTGCTTTTGTTCTCAGGGAAGTGATAAGCCTCCACTGAACTTCTGCAATTCTGTGTTTGCATGGGCTCCGTGTGCCCGAGCTCTATCCACAGCCCTAACAGTCCTGCTCTGTCAAGTTGCCTCCTTCTGCAGAGTTGCCTCCTTCTGCAGCAGACTGTTGACACCGCCTCTTTTACAACGCCCCCTTTACTTCCTCCGCACACTGCTAGTCTCCAGGGACTGAACTTCACAGTTCCTCTTTGGTGTTTTTTTTTCTCTCTCTGTTGTTGTTCCTTCTCCATTTTTATCTCATGGTTTTAAGGACAGCTGAGGAGGCTTCCCCTAAGTATAATATAGTCAAAGGCCGCCCTACCTGCTCCTCTGCATCCTCTAGCCGTTGGCTGGCTTCCTGGACCTTCTTCCTGAGGATGGCTTCCTGGTGGACAGCATCTTCTTGCAGTTGTTTGATGGCTTCTAGTTGTTTCTGCCTGGAGTTAAAAAAAAAAAAAAAAAAAAAAAAAAAAAAAAAAAAAAAGTCCAAACCACAAGCTGTCAGTGACATTTCAACCAAGAGTCACCCCTGGGAAGTTGTGACAAATACAGACTTCATGCATTTCCTCAGAGATCAGAGGCAAAAGTGAAAGTGTTTTCATTCATACAAGTGCTTCTCCAATATGGAATTGAACTAAAGCCATCGCATTGATCACTTAGCCTGATGCCCTCGCTGGACAGACCAGGGCGTGTAGTTTCCTATTTTACATTAGAATATTCAGTTCCCCACAAGCTGCATTCACAAGGAGGTCACAGGGGCAGGTGCAATACTGACACAGCACAGCTAGCTTTTGCAGAAAAAAAAAAGTGAGTGAAGGAGGAAAAAGAGAAGAAATGGAAACTTTATCACGTCCTTAGCCTTTCTCTTTAAAAGTTGCCAATCATGGTAGAAATATGTGCCCTGAGGACAGGAAGGGCACTCCCAAGCATAGTCAAAAGCCAACAGTTCCTATTTCCCCTGCAGTCTTCTCTTTCTGAAGCCCTTCCCCTCCCTTTCTTCCTCACCCCACCTCTTAGTGTTGCTATGTTACCCCTCTTTGGGATCTGACCTTAATTCTCAAAATTCATCAAAATGCTTCTACTCTCTTTTAACAGAGGAGATTATTTGAAGTATGCTATGCATCAACATATCAATGAGTATCTGGAAACAACTTGACCTGAATAAGGATTTTAGCTCAAAGGGATGACAAACTTTGGGAGTTTCAAAGCAGAGAGGGAAGCATTGTCAAGTTTAGGCCTTTTGTGTGCCTCTTCAAATGTTAACACACAGCCAGAATCCCATTGAGTGTTGTCCTAAATCCTGTCCATTACAAAAAGGACCACACAAGGCTGGGTAAGAATGTTTTACCATCACAGTAAACCAGCAAAGGAAACCCTAAACAAAATTAAAACCATCTGAACACATATTCTACCAAGATTGTACAATAGCTTATAGTCAGAGTGTTCTTTTCTTAAATCGTGGTGAGAACGTTTAACATGAGATTTACTCTTCTAACACAGTTTTAAATATATAACACAGAGTTAACTATATGCACAATGTTATACAGTAGATCTCTACAACTTTCTCATCCTTTGTAACTAAAACTATACCCATTGAAGAATTGCAACTCCCCATTTCTTTCTCCCCTGACCTCTGGAGACCACCATTCTACTCTCTGCTTCTATTGGTTTGATAATTTTTAATACCTCATTTAAGTGTAATCATGCAGTTTGTCCTTGTGTAACTGATTTATTTCACTTAGCATAATGTCCTCAAGATTCATCCATGTTGTCGCATGTGGCAAAATTGCCTTCCTTTTTAAGGCTGAATATTATTTCTATACCGCATTACTTTATTCATCCATCCACTGATGAACATTTAGGCTGTTTTCACATCTTATTCTGAATAATGCTGCAATGAACATGAGTATGCAAGTATCTCTTTGAGATTCTGCTTTGAATTTTTTGGATACCCAGAAGTGTGATTGCTAGATCATATGGTAGTTCTATTTAAAAAATTTTGAGGAACCTCTATACTGTTTTTGATAGCAGTTGCACCATTTTATATTCCCATGAACAGTATACAAAGTTTCCATTTCTCTACATCCTTGTCAACACTTGGAATCTTTTGGGTGTTTTTTTTAAATGATAGTCTTCCTAACAGGTGTGATTGATTCATCATTGTAAATGACTCATTATGGTTTTTATTTGCATCTCTCTGATGGTCAGAGATTTTGAGCATTTTTTCATATACCTATTGGCCAATTGTGTGTGTGTGTGTGTTTTTTGAGAAATGTCTATTTAAGTACTTTGCTCACTTTTTTCCCCCAACTACTCATTTTTTATTTCATTCCCCCAACCCTCATTTTAGCAATGATCAGCTTGTTCTCCATATCTATGGTTCTGTTTGTATTATATTAATTTGTTTTGTTTTTATAGATTCCATTTATAAGTGAAATCATATATTTGTATTTGACTTATTTAACTTAGCATAATACCCTCTAGGTCCATCCACATTGTCAATAATGGCAAGGATATTCATATATAAAATATTATTTCTATGAAAATTCATATATATATATAATTGAAAGATATATATATATATATATATATATATATATATATATATATATCACCTCTTCCTTATCCATTCATCTATTGATAGACATCCATGTTGCTTCCATATTTAGCTAATACTAGTAATGCTGCGATGAACATAGGGGTAAATATTTATTTTTTAATTAGTGTTTTTTTGTGTTGTTTTTAATAAATACTCAGAAATGGAATTGCTGGATCATAAGGCAGCAACCCTTTTAATTTTTTGAGGAAGCTCCATAGTATCTTCCATAGTGGCCACACTAATTTACAATCCCACTAACAGTGCACAAGGGTTTCCTTTTCTCCACATCCTCTCCAGCACTTATTTGTTGATTTACTGATGATTGCCAATCTGACAGATATGAGGTGATATCTCATTGTGATTTTTAACTTGCATTTCTCAAATGATTAGTGATGTTGAGCACCTTTTCATATGTCTATTGGCCATGCATATGACTTCTTTGAAGAAATGTCTATTCAGGTCCTCTGCCAATTTTCAAACTGGGTTAGTTGGTGTTTTTGTTTGTTATTGAACTATAGAAGTTCCTCATGTATTTTGAATATTTACCCCTTATCAGATATATGGTTTGGAATATTTCCTCTCATTCAACAGGTTACCATTTCACTCTGTGAATTTCTTTGCTGTGCAGAAGCTTTTTAGTATGATATAAATCCACTTGTCTATTTTTTCTGTTGTTGCCTCTGCTTTTTGGTGTCCTATCCAAGAAATCATTGCCAAGACCAATATCATGAAACTCCAAGATTTTCTTCTAGGAGTTTTACAGTTTTAGGCTTTATGTTTAAGTCTTCACTCCATGTTGATTTTTGTAGATGGTATATAATAAGGGTTCAACTTCATTCTTTAATGTGTGGATATCTAGTTTTTCCAACACCATTTGTTGAAAAGACTATTGTTTCCCATTGTGTATCCTTGGCACATTAGTCAGAGATAAGCTGACCATATAAGCATGGGTAGCTTCATCCTCTTCTCTTGGTCTCTATGTCTGTCTTTAGACCAGTATCATACTGTTTTGATTATTATAGTTTTATATTTTGAAACCAGGAAGTGTGATACCTTAAGATTTGTTTTTTCTCAAGATTGTTTTGACTATTTCAGGTGCTTTTTGGTTCCATATGAACAATAGGATTGTTTTTCTCTATTGCTGTAAAAATGCAGTTAGGATTTGATAGGGATTACGTTAAATATGTTAGTTGCTTTGTGTAGTCTGAACATTTTACCACACTATTAAGTCTTCTAATCCATGAATATTGAATGTATTTCCATTTATTTATGTCTTCTTTGATTTTTTTCATCAATGTTTTGTAGTTTTCATTTTACAAGCCTTTACCTCATTTGTTAAGTTTAGTCCTAAGTATTTTGTTTGTTTAGATGCTATACTAAATGGGAATTTTTTTTCCCAGGTTTCTTTTCAGCTATTGAATAATTTATAGAAATGCAACTAATTTTTATGTGTTCATTTGTATGATATAAAATTGTTGAATTTGTTTATTAGTTTTAACAAGTTTATTCTGGGGTCTTTTGGGTTTTCTATATGTAAAACCATGTTATCTGCAAACAGAGATGACTTTACTTTTCCAATGTGAATGCCTTTGTCTTTTCTAATTGCTCTACGTAGGGCTTCAGTACCATGTTGCATGGGAGAGGTAAGAATGGGCATGCCTGCCTTATTTCTGAAGCTTTTAGTCTTTCACCATTGAGTATGATGCTAGCTTTTCATAAATAGCCTTTATGATCTTGAGGTAGTTTCCTTCTATTTCTAGTTTTTTGAATACGTAGTTTTATTATGAAACAGTGTTGAATCTTATGAAATGTGGGTTTTTTTGGTATCAATTTAGGTGTTATTGTGATATTTTTTCTTCATTTTGTTAATGTGTTGCACATTAATTATTTTTGAATGTTGAGTCATTATTGCATCAAAGGATAAATCTCACTTGATCATGGTATATAACATCTTTTTAATGTACTGTTGAAATTGGTTTGCCATTATTTTGTTGAGGATTTTTACATGTATACTCATCAAGGATATTGGCCTGTAGTGGGGTATGAGTGTGTGTGTGTGTGTGTATGTGTGTGTAGTGGTTTTCGGTGTCAGGATAATTCTCTCCTCATAAAATAAATCGGTAAGTTGTCCTTCCTCTTCAATTTTTTGAAAGAGCTTCAAAGCTTTGCATTAATATTTAAATGTTTGGCAGATTCACTAGTGAAGACATCTGGTCCTGGACTTTTCTTTGTTGGGAGGTTTCTGAATATTGTTTCAGCCTCTTTACTAGTTATTGGCCTGTTCAGATATTCTGTTTCTTCTTGATTCAGTGTTGGTTAAGTTGTATGTTTCTAGGAACTTATTTATTTCTTCAGGGTGATTCAATTTGTTGGTATATAATTGTTCATAGTAGTCTTTTATGATAGTTTCCCCTACTGTGGCATCGTTTGTAATGTCTCCTCTTCCATTTCATATTTTACTTGAGTATTCTCTTTTACAAAGTCTAGCCAAAGATTTGTTAATTTTGTTTATCTTTTTTTTTTCAAGAAACAAACTCAATTTCACTGATTTTTTAAGATTGTTTTTCTTTTTTGTTTACTTCTGCTCTAATTTATATTATTTCCTTCCTTGTGCTAAATTTAAACTTTGTTTTTTCTTATTTTTCTAGTTTCTTGAGAAATAATCTAAGCTCTCAAGAGTCCATTATCTTCTCAATGAAAGCAAAATGACTATAAGGACCAATAGAATTCCATACTTAATAATATTAATTTTTAAAAACTATATTTTATTGATTTTTTACAGAGAGAAAGGGAGAGAGATAGAGAGCTAGAAAAGTCGATGAGAGAGAAACATCGACCACCCCCTACTGGGGATGTGCCCGCAACCAATGTACATGCCCTTGACCGGGACCTTTCAGTCTACAGACCAACGCTCTACCACTGAGCCAAACTGGTTTCGGCAATAATATTAAAATTTTAATGGTTTGTATGTATTTGCATATTAAGACAATACATTTTATGTACTTTATAAATCATAACAATCTTAGAAATAGATTTTAAAAATGAGATAGAGACATCTATTAAAAATATTTAATAGCCGGTCATTATGGCTTAGTGGTTGAGCATCGACCCATAAACCAATAAGTCACAGGTTCTATTCCCAGTCAGGGCACATACATGGTCCCCAATAGGGATTGTTCAGGAGGCAGCTAATCAATGATTCTCTTCATCATTGATGTTTTTATTCTTCTTCCTTCCTCTCTCCCTAAAAATCAATAAAAACATTTTTAAAAAATTTAATAGCTGTTGAACCACGGAAGAATTTTCTTTTATTGAGATTTTTATTATCACAGTAAGAGGTAAATAATTAGCTTTGAGTGTGTGTTTTTAAATTCAGCAGCTCTCCTTGCTAACATGTTAATGCTAAATCTTGATTACTACTCCTGTCAAGTCTGAGTCTCCCACAGATTTTGGCATCCAAATAGATTTTAGTTTCAGACCACAACCCTCTAAATGAAGAATATCTCTTCTCTTTCTTGCATTCCCACAACTAACTCACTAGCATGTCAGATATGATCTATCCTCAAAATATAGTTTGAATCCAACCATTTTTTTCCACATTTACAGTGATCACCTTGATTTATGTCACATCTCTCACCTGGACTATTACAATAGTTCTTAACTCAATGTTTTTGTTTTGCTTTTTTACCATGACCCAGTAAATAGTTTATATTTTAAGCACTTACACACACACACACACACACACAGCTGAAACAAAAATGTTAAAGGAATATTACTTACTCTTATTATATGCCATACACACTATTTCATATACCATGTTCCCCCAAAAATAAGATATCCCCTGAAAATAAGACAGCGCAACTTTGGGAGAAAAAATTAACATAAGACACGGTCTTATTTTCAGGGAAACAGAGTATATTTGGGTCATAATTCACTAAGTTGATTTCAGAATCTCTAACTGGCAATCTATTATTGAAAAATTTCTTCTCACTAGTCCACTGCTTTAAATCTTGCCCTCTATAGACAATTTTCTACCCAGCAGCCAGAATAATCTTTCAAAACACAAGTTATATTACTTCTCTGTTTACAACCCTACTAGAGGCATGATGCACAAAATTTGTGCAAGGGTAGGCCTCCCTTCCCCCAGCTGGCGGCACTGGCTTCCCTCTGGCTGCCAACACCCAAGACCCAGACTTCCCTCTAGCTGCTGGCACTAGGGATTTCCTCCAGCTGTTGGCCCTGCCCCCTGCCCACACCTTCCTTGATCTGGCACTGCCCTCATCTGCTGCCACTCCTCCTCCCCCCCTCGATTGATCTCCCTACTGGCTCCCTCTGTGGAGCGATCCTGGGGCAATGGCAGGCCCCTCCAACCAATCACAGTGCATGTCAGTGTGATCATCCAGATGGTCGTTCTGCTGTTCAGCCACTTGGTCAATTTGCATATTATGCTTTTATTATTATAGATGATGCCTTCCCATCCACTCAGAATACAATCTCCACTCCTAAACATGAACTGAAAGGCTGTGGACCTGACTCCTGACTACCTCTCTGGCCTCATCTCCTACCACTGCTCAGAACTCACTGCACCTCAGTCATGCTGGCCTCTCACCGATGTTCAAATATACAATCTTAGTACAACCTCAGTTAGTTCCTCTGCCTCAAACACTGTTGAGATCTTTACATAGCTCACTCTCTCATTTCATTCAGCTTTCCACTCAGTCGATCACTCCACAGACAGGGCTTTCCTAGCCGTTTTTCTAAAATTAGGTTCTCCTGCCCCTGCCATTCTTGGTCTTCATATCCTGCTTTAATTTACTTCATATCAACCTGACATTGCAGTATATAATTATATGTTTATTTGTTCATCATCTGTGTCCTTCAATAGATGTTTCATGGAGGCAGAGATTTCTGTCTCATTTCCTATAATTCCCTAGTACCTATGCGGGAGAGACAAGGCAACAGAGTCAGGCAAAGAGCTGACACTTTGATGTTGTACATGCTTTTCAAACCAAACCTTTTGAAACACCTCTTCCTCTCCCCTCCCCCACTGTCTCACCTTGACTCTTGGGCATGTGCTCTGACTGGGAATTGAACCATGACCTCCCAGTTCACAGGTTGACACTCATAAACACTGAGCCACATTAGTCGGGCTTGACCCTCAATTCTTTCCATACCTCAGCTCTGGAGCCTAGTTATCTTTTATCAGAATGGAAGCCTTCTCTTCCTAAGTTTATAGCCCATGAATGTTACCTTTAAAAATATTTCCAACCTCATCTAAAGAAAATTTTCTTATTCTCGCAAATTTCTCTACCCATTTTCCCGTGCATAGTGAAGACACATAGCCAAGTCATTTAGTATGTGTTTATATGATTTTGTGTATTTTAAATTAGGTCTAGAAGTCAGGGGCTAAATCTTTCTTACATTTATAAATAGTATTTTCCCCACTGCTAGGTTTCCATATATTTTTAATGAACATTATATCAAAGTTTAGCAAGTAGATAGTGGAAGATTAATAGTTGCAAGAATGTGGGTTTTGAAGCTGAACATATCTAGATCTGATCCCAATTATCACTTAATCCTACCTGGGTAACCTTGGGACATTATCAAACCTCTCTGGAGATAAAATACAGGTCAAATTCTTAGCACTACATCCAACACAGTAAGCTTTCAACAAATTCCACCTACTATTATTATAACTGGGTTTCTTGTGTGTCTAATAGATAATACAGAAGATTCACATATTCAGAGATAACTCAAGTAGCAGAGACCCCTTTCAAAATAGTTCTTTGTTGCTAAACAGAAGAATTTCAATGCTCCCTTTTAGAGAGACAGTATCTGGGTAAGGAAGTTGCATATTTCCATAACCCAAAGCTTTACCACTAAGGGGAAGTCTTGGCTCACTGCTTCTTAGGAAAAGCAGAAGATTATTTTCTTGAGAGTTCTTTCTGGTATTATTATCTCTGGCATCTAGTTTCCTTATTTAGAGGGAAGAAAATAGTTTTTCTTCTGGGTATTTTTTAAAGCAACCTTGGCCTCTAATGACTCTTTTTTTTTTTTTTTTTTTTTTTTTTTTTTTTTTTACTTTATTAAAATTCAGTATATACCCATGTTCATTCATTCCTTTGAAAAGCACTTCTTAAGGGAACACTTAGTATGGTACTAGCAGCTATAAAAACAGAGGTCAACAAAAGATATAGTCACTGCCCTTGTTATTAGTACATGTGTTTTACAAACTACAAATTTCAAGAATTTCCCCATAATCATAAGAATTAAGGTCAGAGAAAGGGTTAGCTGATAAATTATTTTATATTTAGAGCCCTTTATTTCCCAGACTCTTCACCTGATATTTAATTTCCTAAGTGCCCAATGTGATGCATTGCATCCTAAGGTGGAACATGAAGCCCAATGGGATAGGAGTCAATAGACCCAGCATTAGGTTCTTCCATTAATAGATCTTCCTGTGGATTTTCCATTAATTCTCAGACCTTGATCAATTCACTTTATATCCTTATGCCTTGGTCTTGTGTAAAATGATGAGATTTTACTAAATGGTCTCTAAAGCCCCTATGGTTAAAAGAATTCTATATTCTGTAATTCCAAATTCCTTCTCTAAAGAAAATAACTCATTATACTGCTTTTCCACAAATTTTAAAGTCCACTATTTGCAATTTTTAACATATTAGTCAATTTTACACTATTTCATAACTTGAGATTGTCAGACAAAATGTCTTCCCTGAAAATGTATTATCTGAAATCAATACATAGTACTTAGGGGAAAAAATGAACTGAAGGCTATGGCATAATTACAAAGGTGTCAGGTTCATAAAAAATGGGTTTCTTATACATAAATGATTGTCACCTGGAAAAATATTCCTTTCTGAAATAAAAATATTGCAGCCCAAATCTCTTCAAAATCTCCATCAACTTGACAAACTCTTTATCAAGAGATTCTTTGTGGTTTCCCAAGCTCTTCAGCATTAATATGCAAATATTTAGTTTCTCTTCCATGGTATATTTGTATTCCTACAAGGAAAATCACAAAACAAACTCCACTATTTCAGTATTAAATATAAACATGATAGAGGCAATATGTAATGCTGTGGCCATTCTCCTTTCAATAGTATTTCCTGTTATTGGACCCTAAAATTCTAATTGAACACATACTAATTTTTAATTGCACAAAGACTGATTATCCTCTAGGTTGATTATCTTAATTTAACAAGTATATATTGGGTACTTATCAAGTGCATTAAATTGAATTTCATTTGTTTTTCTTACGAATGTGGGTTCCTGATCATTTCACCATTCATCCCAATTGCTTTAGAATTCCATGGGACAAGGGAATGCAATAAAATCAATCTCTCTTGATTAGCATTTTCAAAAGCAACTTTTTAAAAACAGGTGAAGGGGTTGAAATTAACATTCCAGAGTTTCCTTCTTGCTTTAGCTTAATTTAGGGGCTAATGCACGATAATAGTTGTCTGGCAATCAAGAAGTAGAGATAATAAGTGATAGATAAATTAAGGAGATTTAAATGATTCTTTCCTAACTGAACTGGAAATGCCTATCTAAGAAGCTCATGGTTTTCCAATGTTCTGTAAATATTAGGAATTAATAAAAACTGTCAGAATATCAGGAATCAGATTCTTTTGCACACTAACCATTCTACCAAAGTCAGAGAATTTTAATAAGCCAATGTTAAGTGTCTTAGACTAGCCAATTCTCCCAAGAATTCAAATAAAATACACTTTCATTAAGTCATCTTATTTAGTCTTTGTTTCTCCAACATATAACACGTATCTCCAAACTCATTCACTCACTCATTTTTTCCTCATCCTCAAAGACTTTATCCTAACCGTCACACTCATCCTCACCCACATATCTACATTTATACACCCCCCTACCCAGACATACACTCTACACACAACATCAGACTGAGATAGTAGAAGACTCCAATAATGCCTGATATGGTACTCTACACAGTATTACTTGGGTTTCAAAGGTACAAGGGAAACCAGGAAAATCACAAAATACAGAACACTTACAGTAAGCATGTCCTCCCACATTCCTTTCACAGTAATTTCTGGACTAGTTACCCACTGGAGAGGGCTGTCAATGAGGGTTTCCACTTCAGAAATGTCTTCATGCTGAAAAAGAGTTTCACATCTTCAACTAGAAATTCAGGGGGAAGACATATGCTATTACATAAGAACTAATGTAGACCAAAGTTCTATTACAGGGTAACCCAGAGAAAGTTCCTTCTCAACTAAGGCCACTGAATGACTTGCCTTTACCCCAGGCCGTTGCCATGTGTAGATGCTATCTCTCATCAGGTTCTCTATCCATGCTGAACATGCAGAAATAGAACCATTTTTTTCAGCAAAACCTACCCATTTTTATCTTCCTAATAGAAGGAAACAAGCATTTTTGCGGATTTTTTTTTTCATTTGTCAAACTAAATACTACCTACCATACATGCTAGGTACTGTGGAAGGGACTTGAAATAGCAACACAAAGATTCTCTACTTTCTCTGACCATCTAGAGTTTCCAGTCACATATCAAAATGAAGAAAGAGGTGTTAGCCATTAGCTAGAAGGAAACTGTTCAATAGATACCATGTCTTCAGCCCTTTGATATTAAAGATTAAACTGTAGGAAAACTATGCTCAAGCAATCCATATCCAATGGTCAGTTAGTCCTGATTGACTCAGGACTAGAAGATCAACTTCAGAGATGCTTGAGGGAAAAAAAATCTTCTCTTACATAGTAGGATGATTTGGGAGCTTAACAACACACACATATGCTTGTGCTCAGCAAACAGTTTGCAGGTCAGTTGTTTGCAGACGTTCCTAGTCAGTGAAACCCCATGATAGGCATATGCTATGTAATACCAGCTTCAGGAGAGTAGCTGTGAATGCCACTCCCTTCTGCTCGGGTTCTCTCAGTGACAGCAGCATGTCTTGGTCCATCACTGTGTCCAGAGATGACAAGCTGATTAAACTGCACTGCTGCTCAGTTTCAGTATTCTGGAACAATTGCCAAAATGTTTATGACTCTTATCATTCTAATAATGAATATTTTTATTTTATAAAAATCATACCCAGGACTCAATGTAATTGTCCCCATTCTAAATAGCCTTATGGGCCAAAACCGGTTTGGCTCAATGGATAGAGCATCAGTCTGTGGACTGAAAGGTCCCAGGTTCGATTCTGGTCAATGGCATGTACCTTGGTTGCGGGCACATCCCCAGTAGGGGGTGTGCAAGAGGCAGCTGATCAATGATTCTCTCATCGATGTTTCTAATTCTCTATCCTTCTCTCTTCCTCTCTGTAAAAAAATCAATAAAATGTATTAAAAAAAAAAAAGAAGAAGAAGAAAGAGCTATGGCAGAAACCAGTTTGGCTCAGTGGATAGAGCATTGTCCTGCAGATTGAAAGGCCCCAGGTTTAATTCCGGTCAAAGGCATGTACCTTGGTTTTGGGCACATCCCCAGTAGGGGGTGTGCAAGAGGCAGCTGATCAATGATTCTCTCATCAATGTTTCTAATTCTCTATCTTTCTCTCTTCCTCTCTGTAAAAAAATCAATAAAATATATTTTAAAAATAAATAGCCTTATGGAATCCTCCTATGTCCCCCCAAAAAACAGTTTTTACATTTTCTCCTTGGTATGATTTTAACTTATCATTTATTTGTTCTTTTTTAAAAAATATATATTTTATCCATTTTTTACAGAGAGGAAGGGAGAGAGATAGTTAGAAACATCAATGAGAAAGAAACATCGAAAGGCTGCCTCCTGCACACCCCCTTACTGGGGATGTGCCCGCAACCAAGGTACATGCCCTTAACCAGAATCGAACCTGGGACCCTTCAGTCTGCAGGCTGACACTCTACCCACTGAGCCAAACTGGTTTTGGCCATTTATTTGTTCTTAAGAAAGTTCCATTTATCCCATGGATAACATTTAGATGTGGTGATATAAACTGCTATGGCTCTAATTTTATGAAAATAAGGGAATGCAAAGAAATTCACACACAAAAAATGTTGGGATGGGGAGCTCAATAAAGCCTACTAAAAACAGGTTGATTTCTTCTGTTTTCCTTCAATGTACAGAAGACAGTCTCAGATAATGTCCCACAAAGGCTATTTCTTATACTTCTCTCAAAGTCTCTGTCTCTTATCATGTGCTTGATAGATGACAATAGTTCATTTAACTCTCTTCTTGTTGGGAAAAGGTCAGAGGGCTCTTATTTCCAGGTTCTAATTAAAAGCAAACTTCTTCACCCATCCGTGGGGTATACCTGTGAGTCAGGACTTTGCCAGCTGTTTAACCCCAGTTGAGAAGTATAGAACTTCACAAGCTGCCATCCTGACACTGTCTTCCTCTCAGAGGGCCGAGGATGAAACACACTGCTGGGGCAGGTTTGCCATCATTTCACTCAGTCTGGCAGTTTGGCTTGGTTTCAAAACCGCAGTAAGATGATGAGTATTTGAAACAATGTCAGGAAAGCACAGCCCTCGGCAGAATGTCCAAGGCTGCCTGAGACGGCATCAGAGGAAGGCAGCATATGTTGCCCCTTCATCCTTGGCAGGAGACATTCAAACAGTGTTTGCCCCAAAGACATTCTTCCTCTCCTTTCAAGGTCATAGCACAGCTGTCAACAGGAGGACATTCTGACATAGCCATTGTCTACACACATGGAGAGACCATTAAAGTGGTGAAAAGCAAGCAATTTGATAATAAATCATTTCCTAACATAATAAGCACAAAACTGCAGAGTGTAAAAGAGTGGAAATATAGCAAAGGGTGGGGGGTGTCCCAATATTTAATTCTCCAAAAGGCTTTTGATTGTTTCCTACCACGTTGTAAAGAATTGAGCCTACCTAACAAAGGAGTTTTTTTTTTTTTTTAAAGTAATAATTCATTTTGCTATTTAGAAATTAGTTGGGCCATAGCCGGATTGGCTCAGTGGATAGAGTGTCAGCCTGCAGGCCACAGGGTCCCAGGTTCGATTCCAGTCAAGAACATATACCTTGGTTGCAGGCTCCTCCCCAGCCTGGGCCCTGGTCAGGGTTCATGCAGGAGACAACTAATCAATGTGTCTCTCTCACATTAATTTTTCTCTCTGTGTCTTTCCCTCTCTTTCTTCCACTCTCCCTAAAAATCAATGGAAAAATACACTCAGTGGAGGATTAACAAAAAAACAAAACAAAACAATAATTAGCCAGGAGGAGAGGGGTAACAGGGTAGGGGGGAAATGGGAGATATCTGTAATACTATTAACAATAAAGCATATACTTAAAAATAAATAAAAATTAGCCAAAAATATAAAATGCTAATTTCTGTTCAGAATGTAATCATCACTGTCAATAAATTGGCTTGGTTCAATTACATCCTAACGCAAAGAAACTGCATGCTGTTGCTGAGAACTCTATGTGTGGTAGACATGCTGTGAGGGACAAGGCAGACACAGAAAAGGAGCTCATGAATCTCTACTGCTACCTTTAAGACCCCAGGCTAAGGAACATGTATTGAGTTTGTCCTGAAAAATACAAGAAAATAAAGATTTCTGAAATCCAGATTCACTGAATGCACAGTTCCAAAACTGCTTGCCAGTTTTCAGCCATAACTCCAAGAGGTCCGCTCCAGGCTGAGACGTTAGACTTGGATTCCAAAAACAATCAGCAGGTTCCCCTCAAAACGTCACAGGTGCTTTTCCTCAAGCTCTGGACCTTCACTTCATAGCAAGTTATCACATGTGGCGATGGTTTTTTTTAAAGCTTTCCATTGATGGTAGTGCCTACCTCTGCAGACTGAGCAAGAATGAGTTCACAATGTAAAGATTTTTCTCCTTCAGAGATGGTGCTCTTATGTTCTTCACTAACATCCAACTGGATCCCATTCCTTGAAAAACAAATAAGAAAAAGAACAGTAATCCCATCTGGTTAGATGTGCCTCCAACATTATGTTTTCTTCTACATACATATATATATATATATATATATATATATATATATATATATATATATATAAGCTTTTTATTGATTTTAGAGAGAGGGGGGAGAGAGAAACATCTATTGGCTGCCTCTCACATGTACCCTAATTGGGAACTGAATCTGCAACCTAGGCATGTACGTTGACTGGGAACCAAACAGGCCACCTTTTGGTGCATGGGACCAATTGAGCTATACCCACCAGGGCCCTAACATTATGTCTTGAGTCAGCAGATTAGAATTTATTTATGACCAAACAATCAGTAAGCCTCCACGTGTACTTAGGATTGCATAAGGTACTTAGGAATAGAGGGACAAGGAGAGTCTCTGCCCAGACTAGGAGCCGCACAGATGCTGCGCAGATTAGTGATGCTAGGTGGTTGCAAACAAGTAGGCCACACTTTTAAAAGCATGTTTAATTTTAATTAATTTATTTTTATTTTTATGAATTGGAACCAATAGTTAAAAATTAGAGCCTCGCTGGTGTGACTCAGTGATTGAACACTGATCCATGAACCAGGAGGTTGTGGTTTAACTCCCAGTCAGGGCACATGCTCTGGTTGTGGGCTTGATCCCTAGTGAGGGACATGCAGGAAGCGGCCTATTGATGTTGATAGTTCTTTCATCGATGTTTCTTTCTCTCCCTCTCCCTTCCTTTCTTTCTAAAATCAATACAAATACATATTTTAAAAATTAGCAAGTTTCACTAAAAACCCAGATTTCTGGCTTTCTTAAAAACAAACACAGAAGATGTGGCCATACTGGATGCATATATTCTTGATGTAACAATTAGCGAGAGCTAAGCAGAGCTGCGCCCTCTGCCTTTGTTGAGGTAATGCACTTATCTCATCGGTAACTCTCATGACGTAAGTGTGTGCACTCACACCACTGGCTTTACTCTAGTTGTCTTCGGACTCCTGGACTAGATTATACAGATTAGACAACAAATGCTTATAATATAAGGTGATTTATGTTAGAAATGAGATAAAAAAACATGCACTTAAAAGGGTTACTTTGATCTCAAGGTAGGAGAAAACCAAGGGAAGGTCATGAAAAACTTGTGAAGAAGTTCTGTTGGAAAAAAGCAGAGAAAATGCCACTTACCAAAGCACAGAGGAAAAGAATGTGGCACATTCAAGAACTGCAGATAGCCGGGACCGGTTTGGCTCAGTGGATAGAGCATCGGCCTGGGAACTGAAAGGTCCCGGGTTCGATTCCGGTCAAGGGCATGTACCTTGGTTGCGGGCGCATCCCCAGTGGGGGGTGTGCAAGAGGCAGCTGATCGATGATTCTCTCTCATTGATGTTTCTAACTCTCTATCCCTCTCTCTTCCTCTCTGTGAAAAATCAATAAAATATATTAAAAAAAAAAAAAGAACTGCAGATAGCTCAGTAGCCCAATGATGAGGGATAGGGGCATGGGAGAGGAGGGATTGCTGTGTACTACTTACATGATGAGTTCCTGTTGCAAGTGCTGTAACTCATAAGCCAGTTTGTTTTTTTCCCCTCGTAAATTCTGGAATCACATACAACATTAGGCTGTACTTGCCATTCCAGTGGGGAAATTACATTTAACAACCCACCTTGCAAGCTCTGAGATTATTATGGTATACCTCTATAATGTTTCCATATTCTACAATGGTTGACTTAAGTTCTTCTATACTTAAATCCTTCTGAAAAGTAGAAGAGAAAATTAATAGCTAATAAATGCATGAGTCCACCAAATCATGTTTAATAAAATAATTATCAATCTGAGCCACACAAAAATTATAATGCCCAATGAGATGAACTCTTCTGTCAATCGTATTATTTAAAAACTGAACCAATCTGCGTTTGTGATTAAAGCCACACAAAAAGTATGGGGTAACCAGGCAGCTGTATCTAACTGGTGACAATATGTTCTGTGTCAGCCTAGTCCAATGGAACAAAACCCTAAAAAACAAATCTTAAGTTCAAGTCAAAATTATATTTATTATCATTATACACTTAAAAAAATTAGTCTTTAACTGAAAATGACTAATGAATTATTAAGGCATCCAATTTTACCCAACTCACATGGTATCTCTATTAAAATCACAGTATTGTACTGGAAGACCAGAGTACAGGCAGTGTCTGACCTACAATTGTATCCCATGATCAGCATGGTGCCTGGGATGTACAAATTGCCCAAAATGCCTATGAATGCTGGGGAGGAGTGCACAGTAGTGAAAAGATCAGAGGTATGAAGGAAGTGAGCCACCACTACCACCTCAATGTCACTGTGTGTCAGTATCTGGGTCAATGTCTATAAGCCATCAATATCTTTTTTGAAATGTCAAAACATGAATGGAAAGGAAGATAAATATTGCTCTTTGCCTCCTTATCTTGAAATGTGGAAGGTTATTAACTTAGGGTTATGTCCTTCTTATGTCACTATAACCAGAATCACTACTCCTTGTTACCAGGTAGATTATAGATCATAGGATACAAGGATAAAGAGAATATCTATCTGATCAAACCAGGAAGAAAATAACTTAGGGATATTTTTTTCTTCCCCAAAATGAATGCCTGCACACACATTTGTGTTGTTATGAATTAAGATTGCATCGTTGTATCTAGCCATTGACTAATAAATTGGCACACTCATATTAGTTGTGTATATTAATAAACACCACCAGAATTTAGAGAGGATATGATGAAACTTATACATACTAGATAGATAAGTCAGTATTCTTTATTCAACAGGATATCTTTTGAGAAGTTTATAAAGAAAATCTAACATTCTGGAAAGAATATTAGAATCAGATATTTTAATAGGAGTGAAGGTACACAAATGATCATTTCCTTTCTGATTTGAAGAGAGCTAGCCAATCCCACAGGACTACATGGGAAGGGACAGACCAACCTTCTGCAAACTTGCATCTTTATTAAGCAAAGTGTTCTCATACATGCGTAACTCCATCTGCAAACAAACAAAGTTAGTAAAGGCCGCTGGGATTTTGCTTTGGTAAAGGACAGTGCCACAGAATCGTTTCAATAGGGAGACATGTTTCTGAAACACTTTTAATGTGCATATTGTTTTCACTTTTTTTAAAAATATATTTTATTGATTTTTCACAGAAAGGAGGAGAGAGGGATAGAGAGTTAGAAACATTGATGAGAGAGAATCATCGATTAGCTGCCTCTTGCACACCCCCTACTGGGGATGTGCCCGCAACCACCCTTGACTGGAATCGAACCCGGGACCTTTCAGTCCAAAGGCCGACGCTCTACCACTGAGCCAAACCGGTCCCAGCTGTTTTCACTTTTTAAAAAATATATATATTTTATTGATTTTTTTACAGAGAGGAAGGGAGAGGGATAGAGAGCTAGAAACATCGATGCGAGAGAAACATCGACCAGCTGCCTCCTGCACACCACCTACTGGGGGTGTGCCTGCAACCAATGTACATGCCCTTGACCAGAATCGCACCTGGGACCTTTCAGTCTGCAGACTGACACTCTATCCATTGAGCCAAACCGGTTTCGGCTGGTTTTAACTTTTTAAAGAACTTTCACATTAGCCTCAATACCATCAGGCATCAGACCCTGTTGGGAACAACTCTGCTTTGGGGGGTCAGCCCTGCACAGCGACTCATACATGGTGATTAAGATCTATTTTCATAGTCAGCCAGCCTGAGGGTTAACTCTTCCCACAAATGGGCAACAGCATTCAAAACTCAACTACGCAGGAGGGTACACATAACCCACACAAGAGATATTCCGAGAGCACCTAGCTCAGGTGATCAGAAGACTGCCACTGAGTCCAAGACACCTATATCATAAAGCCATCATAATACATTTGAGAGACATAGTCAGTAAAACCTCAGACATTTCTCTTAGAATTTTTTTTTTCTGATATATTTCTTGGCACAAGAGAAAAAAGAAACAAATGTGACTACATTAAAAAAATAAATAAGTAAAAAAAGAAGCTTCTGCACAGCAAAGGAAACCAACAAAATGAAAAGACAACTCACCAAATGGGAGAACATATTCACCAATGATACAACTAATAAGGGATTACTCTACAAAATTTATAAAGAACTTATAAAACTCCACCAAAAGACTCAAATGGTCCAATTAAAAAATGAACAAAGGACCTGAATAGACACTTCTCCAATGTGTACATGCAGATGGCTAATAGAGATATGAAAAAGTGCTCAGCATCAGTAATCATCAGAGAGATGCAAATTAAAACCACAATGAGATGTCACCCCACACCTGTCGGAATGGCTATTATCAATAAATCAACAAACAATGTGCTGGCAAGGATGTGGAGAAAAGGAAACCACTATTGATAGGAATGCAAATTGGTGCAGTCCTTGAGGAAAACAGTATAGAGTTTCGCAAAAAATTAAAAATGGAACTGTCTAGTGACCCAGTGATTCTGTTTGTGGGAATATATCCAAAGAAATATGAAACACTATTTTGAAAGAATATACGAACCCCTATGTTCATGGCAATGTTATTTATAATAGCCAAGGTTTGGACACAACCCACAGGTCCAACAGTAGATAAGGGGACAAAAAGCCCATGGTACATTGGCACAATGGAATACTACTCAACCATAAACAAGAAGGATATCTTACCTTTTGTGGCCACATGAATAGATCTGGACAGTATTGTGCTAAGTAAAATAAGCCAGTTAGAGAAAAACAAATACCATACGATCTCAGTTCTATGTGGAATCCAATAAACAAAATAAGAACAAAATAGAAACAGACCCACATAGACAAAGAACAGACTGACAGCTCTCAGAGGGGAGGGTGTTTTGGGGATTGGTGAAAAAGGTAAAGGAATTAAGCATTAAAAAAAAAACAAAAACAGATATAGACAACAGTGTGGTTATTACCAGAGGGAGGAGGAGATGAGCAAAGGAGGATATATGGTGGTGAAAGAGACTTGACTTTAGATGTTGAGTGCATGCTGCAGTATGCAGATGTGGTATAGACTTGTATACTTGCAACATGTCTAATTTTATTAACCAATGTCACCGCAATAAAGTCAATAAAAAATAAAACTGGTTTTGATGATGGTTGCACAACTCTGTGAGCATACTAAAAAAACACTGACTTGTACATTTTAAGTGGGTGGATTTAATGGAGTGTATATTATTTATCCATAAAGCTGTTACATAAAAAAAATAGAGATAGCCCTTTATATAATTCAGACATCGTGAGGAGTACACATTTTAAAGTTCATTGTAGCAATGAGTCACGTACACCTTTATAGAGTAGTGTTAGCTTGAGGGAAGAAAATGTTTTACCAGTATTTGGGGAATGCTTACTTGGTGCTCCATCCCAGTTTTAGACAATTCCTCAATATTTTTTTCCAATGTATATATATCCAGAATATTTTTGGTATTCTGATGTAAAAAAAAAAAAAAAAAAAAAAAGATAGTATTTTTTTATTTAGTCCAAACATAAAAAATAAGAGACCATCTTAAAGTCTTTTTTAGGAAGAAGTATTTTCATATCATTCATTTTAAGCTAAGGGACAAAACTTTAGATTTTGTCCCTTAGCTTAAAATAAGCTAAGGGACAAAAAATAGTATGAGCCTTTTAACAGGATATCTAGGAAGCCCCTTATTATCTTACATTCCACCACAGACACTCACTCCCTAGTTCACACCTTCTTCACTTGTCATTATCAATAACTGTGGCTCTTGCATTATATTGACTGGGCTATTTTGCTTACATTTGTCTCCTGGGCATCTAGAATGGTGCCTAGCACACAGAGATATCCCAAAGAATATGTGTTGAATGAATGAATGAATAAATGGATTATAAATGGATTAATGAATGTGAATACCCAAACCATTGTGCTGTCACTCTTCACAATGCATCAGATTTTTGCCTCCTAAAGGAATCTTAGCTAGCAGTGACATTGATGTGCCTTTTCTAATGGAAATCAGTCATTGCAATGCTATGAAGGGTTCCAAATCTCCTTCCTCCCATCTTAATTCTAAACTGGCTTTGGTACAATTCTTTGATGTTAATCAATCATCTTATATATGAGAAGAAAAGCATCTTACCTTGGGAGCTTAACTGTAAAGTACTAGTTTTTGTAGCTATACCATGTCTGAATCTAATGTAGGGTTTCTTTTCAATCTTTAGTTGTTGTTTTTTTTTAATCCACCAAGAAATCTTTTAATGTTTACTTGGTCCATATTTTAGTTAACTCTCCAGATTGTTGTTCATCATAGTTTAATAACTAATAAATTTTTATAAAGCCCCAATTTTAAAATGTGCATAACACTTGCCATTCAAAATGTACCTACATAAAATTTCTCTCCAAAACAGTAACTTACTAGTAGTTTTGTTACCCATTCTTTCATTGCTTTAATTCTGTTGCTTAAAAATATATATTGCATAGAATTATTCATTTTTTAGAAATTTTACTAATATGTCCTATCATATATGAGGTACATTATAATTAAATAAAAGGGTTCACATGCATTATCTTAATCTATAAAATAACTGAAGGAATAGGTATTATTAACTCAAAAAAGATAAATGTTTTTTCCAAGGTCAGACTTTCAGTGAATTTAAGATCTGGGTCTTAGATTCAAGACATTTGCCACCTAGTTCAGTAGAATAATAACAGAAAGATATTAGATAATTTCTACACTTTCCTTCTTGATTTGTATAGTTTTTAGATGGGTTAATTTCACTTCGACTTAAATCTGAATGTTTAAAACCTCATTTCTTCCATGGATATATACAAAGGTAATAAGATACTTCTGTCCAGACATGAAAATCTTATCCACTCTCCTTCATTTGTCCTTTGACAAAGCAACCTGGTTTTTGGCCCACAGGAGTTTGAATACTCACATAATTTCTATTTAACCCAGGGTCAGGACCCATGAGTGATTGATTCAATAAGTTTATTTGTGCCCATGTTTAATGATTTTAACATACCTCCTCTTGAAGAGTCCGAATCTTAAGAATCAGAGCCCGGTTTTCTGCCTCCTGATTCATTAAAAGAAAAGTAATTTAAAAATATTTTAGAAGTTTTGAAAATACCACATATTTACCTCCAAGATTATTGACATTCTTTCCCTTTATTAGTTTTAAACATGGCATTGACATATTACAAATGAGCCTAGCCTGAAAATACTTTCAACATGGGCTTAAGTCTTTGGCTAACAGTTTCTAGGAATCTGTGAGAAGTCATTCTTCTTCTTGACTTAATCTGTGACATTAGAAAGGAAAGACTAAAAACCAAAAAGGAAGCATCTGGCTTCTTTTCCTGCTACTAATGCCATCCACTTATGACAGGTAATGTGAACTCATCTATTGAAATAGGTAATGTGAACTCATCTATTTAAACAGCACTTTGGAATCTCAAAGAGATCTAGCTTTCTACTTGAAGCTGTTGATATTCCCATAGTCAACATTACCATAACATATGATTATAAAAAATATATTTTTTAATTAAGAACCCCAAATTCAGAACCCTCAGAAGAAAAAAAGTATTCCTGGACAAAATAAATGCTAAAATATTAGTAATCAACATACTAGTATGGTAGGGTAAATACTAATTGGTATGGTAGGATAATTTGATATGGTAGGATAAGAATTTAGTGGGGTTTTTTGTTGTTAATATGCATTTCCTTATTTTTATAGAGTAACTAGGAATTGCCTTTAAATATAAAAAAAGGAAAGCATGTCAGACTAGGTTGTCATTGGTACAAGAATGAAGGAACACCACCCTCCCCCCCACACACACACACAACACATAATTGGAATTAGAAGACCTGAGTTTGATTCTAGCTTATCATTTATTAGACAATTGACTTTGAATAATCAAAACATTTCTGACTTTACCTATATTTCTATTAATTTTTTACATGAAGAAATAGGTACTTCTGTTTCTACCTCAATGGATTTCTATGATGACCATTGAAATATTCAAAATTATTTAAAAAATTTTAAACACTATAAAATGCAAAGACTTAGGATTGTATACCTAGGACTCCTTACTTTTAATAATAGGGAGTACTTCCCAGCCCTAGGAGGAAAGAGGACATTACATGATTTTCATATATTAACTTATATAACTTTCTCAGCTCTAGGGTCCGAAGACACTGAGGCTTAAAGAGGTTATATAGTTTGTCTGAAGTTACACAGCCCCAGAAGTCAGGACCTGACTGCTGGCCCTCTGATTTTCAAGGGTAGGCTCATGATAATTTCTAACATTGCCTCCAGATAAAAGTTCTCCACTGGCCCAAATCGAGTATTCCCTGTAGTGTACTCATAGAGACTTGCAGAGTCACCTGACATTCGGTGAGTCTAGTCTCACATTTTACTATTTAAACGAAGCTAAGCTGTGTTGGTTGTGGGAGGTCACAAGTGACTGACACAGACCAGGAGCCCATCTCTTGATTAATTACAGACTATAAATGAATAGGTCCGAATGACTTTCAGTTGACACCACCATCATTAGCAATGCTAGAATACTACTGCTGGAATATATTATTAAAGATCATAGTTTAACATTTTCAATAAAAATGATTATGCGCTTCTCTGTTGAGTTAAAGCTTAGTCTAAATGGCAATTTACTCTAAAAATTACAAGTACTTATTTAGTATAAGGAGTGATTTATGGAGCTTCTTAGTAATCTGGAAGTATTGAGAAAATTGATCTTTTTTCCTTTTAACTGAGAAAAAATTGAAAGTTTGACGGAGAATTAAAAAAAAAATTCAAGTCGATTTTGGTATTAAGTACTTATGAATTCACCTATCAATTTTAGGAGGCATTCTAGAGATCTTCTAGATCTTCACAAACCATTGTGAATATGACTGAGCAATTTGTAAAAAACTTTAATCTTGGTTGAAAAGAAAAATACAGGTTTCCATCCTACCTGCCTTAAATGAATAAGGTAACACCTTAGAAAAGTTATAAGACTATTGGCTGACTTTTGTCTCCAAATAAACCCTCCTGGCGTTTCAAGGAACTTGGGTGACTTACTAATTGTTTGTTCTCGGCTACAATTGTGGTCTTCTGCTCTTCTGAAGCACTCATACTAGTTTTCAGTTCCTCTAGTTCTTCTTGTAACAGATTTGTTCTCATAATAGCCTGGTGGGCACTGTGGAAGTGGGGGTGGGAAAAAGAAGGCAATGAGCAAAACCTCAAGTGTAACTGTCAAACATGCTAAGAAAAACCAAGGACTATTTTTAGATCCAAGTTGAAAACCCACTGAAAATGTAAACCAGATGCCACCAATAGTAAAAATATACCCACTATCTTTTATAGTCTTTGGTAAAGAAAGGGATTGGGGAGCAGGATGGTGGAGGGAAAGTGATAGAAGGAAAATAAAAACATATTCCCAAAGATAAAGACTTGGAGACTCCCTTTGAAATCCTCATTGGCTGAATCCCACAGTTCTTTCCTTCTACTAAAATATGTAATAATGATTAGTGCAATTCCACAAATATTTATTCAATAATAGCATGTTCTAGGTGCTGTACCCTGCAAAGGGCTCGTGATGGTAGACAAAAGAGACAAAGCCCTGCCCTTGTACAGATGAACACTAGTCAAGGAGATGACAACTGAAATGTATACACACTTCAATAGCTGATAACTCACTTTTCACTCCTTTTCAAGTTTAACTACTTTGAAATAATGGGTGAAGCCAAACTAAGCTTTGAACAAATAAAATGTATCCTAAAGTGCCACTAGACTTTTTTAAAAATGGGGATACATAAAAGATAACATTTACAGTACAAAACCAACAACAGTCGATGAATTGGGGGCACACAGATACCGAACGAAATGGTTCTTGATGTTTGTAATTCCATTGCTTCGCGTTATCAGCAGTGCCTGCATCAGAATGGTCATCAGTTTGAGAACAGGCATTGACAAAAAAGTTATTCATTTTTGTAGATTATTTTAAATTTTGAAAATGAACTGTATGTTAATAAACACTGACTTTATAATCATTCAAAGTATGTACTAGTATACAATTTTGGGGACATCTTGTATTTTATTTTAAAGGTTTATTATAGCATCATTTACAGTAACAAAGCACTGAAAACTTAGTTAAATGTCCAACTAAGAAAGCTTATTAAATATATTATGGTCATCCATGTCATGGAATTACCTAGTTGTGCTCCCACTAGGTTATAAACTGTTTTCTGAGCAGGGTCTCAAAGAAGGTACAATGTGTGCCTTGTTAAAGAATTACACTAGTCATTCAACATGTATTTATTGAGCTTCAACTCTGTACCAGGCATTATGCTAAGATACTAGAGAAGAAAAAAGTAAACCCAGTCATGAGAACTCTACCCTCCTGGAATGTATGGTCTAGTGGGGTAAACAGACAATCATCATTACAACACAGTGTGACTAGAACCAATGTTGGAATGAACCCAAGTTTCTGCAGACATTGTGCTAAAGGCAGATAGTTCAGATCACGAGAAAGAAGAAGAGGGAAGGAGGAAGAGAACAGAAGCTCACTGGGGGGCTGCAAGCAGATAGGTATTGTTAGAACCTAGAGTGGAAAATGAAAAGTAGAAACAAGGCAACAGAGGCTCCACCATGAAAGGCTTTGCAAACTAGATGAAAGAATTTAGATTTTTATCCTGAATGTGTCAGGGCTCCATTGCAGTGTTTAGGGCAGAGGCATAAAGTAGTCAGACAGGCTTTTAGGAAGAGCATTTATTCCCCTAGGTGTGACACTTTTGGAAAAGGCAAGGAACCTAATCAGGAGGTTGCTGTCATGATCCAGGAGAAAGGTAATGCTGACTTGAACTAAGTGGCAGATATAGGAATGAAAAGGAGTCAATCTATTTGAGAAACATAAAGTAGGTCCATTGAACAGGCCTTGCTATTTGATTTAGAAGTCAAGGCTGAGGAAGAAAAAGGAGACAAAGATTTCTGGCTTGCAGGCAGGCAACTGTAAGGATGGGAGAGCTATCTGTGGCAGACATTTTCCTAAGCACTGGGGTAACCAGGGTGGGTGAGATTAAGTTCCTGTGAACAAGGGGCAGTTCATATAGAAGATAAAATATACTACAACAAGACACCCATACAATATCAAAAATAGACTGTGAGTGCTGAAAGGAAACAGAGGCCCTTTCTGAAGGATTAGGGGAAGGAGAAAAGTGAAGGACAAAAAGCTTAATTTTGTCGACATTGGCATTCTCGATGCTCATCTTGATTCTCAAGCCTTTCTGTCCTTCTGTGAAGAATCTAGTTTCCTTCTAACACATTTCTTTACTGCTTCAATTAACTAGAGTCAGCAGTAAAGAAATGTGATACAACCAAAAGCCCTAAACGACACGTTCACCCAATGTATAGTTGTTTTTAAAATCAACTTTAAATACTTATATTTCACATAAATAATACATAAATCAAATGTGGAATGGAAAGAGCCTGAGGTAAGCATATTTTTAACATTTATACTTTGGTTTGGAAGCTGGAATGGCTGGTCAAAAATTGTGAGGATATGTGTCCATGGTCAAAATGCTCTACCGTATTTTAAAGTTAACTTAAAACTTTCTGTTCAGAATATTAGCACCTGCATCTTAAACACAATCCGTGAGAACCTGTTGCTTTTTTTTTCCTGATGCTCAAGCATCTTCCTGCAACCCACTTCACCAGTGTAGGACACTATCTGGTTCATCTCCTAGGTGCTTTAGGCCTTTCCAACTTAAGTGAAGGTCAGGAACTTTTTTATCATCCCTCTGGGGCAGTGGTCGGCAAACTCATAAGTCAACAGAGCCAAATATCAACAGTACAATGACTGAAATTTCTTTTGAGAACCAATTTTTTTTAAAACTTAAACTTCTTCTAATGCCACTTCTTCAAAATAGGCTCACCCAGGCCATGGTATTTTGCGGAAGAGCCACACTCAAGGGGCCAAAGAGCCTCATGTGGCTCACGAGCCACATTTTGCCGACCACTGCTCTGGAGTAATGGTACCCTGAGGGCACATTTTAAATCTAACTCATCAACAAATCCCTCCTAATACTTAGCATAGAATAAGGGTGCAACAAAACCACAGAACTTCTTAGGATAGGTCCACACCTCACCCTTTGGTGTAATGATGTTCCATAGAGAACTCGACCTTGAGTGACTTAGAGAACATCATTGCCGGAAAAGAACTGACAGAAGTGGCTCATGGAAAAATAAAACGGTACAGATGCTTTGGAGAACGGTTTGTCAGCTCCTCAAAATTCCAACTATAGGTTACTACCCAGCAAGTCCACTCCTAGGTATAGACCTCAAAGAACTAAAAACATGTCCACACAAAAACCGGTGCACAGATGTTCATAGCAGCAATGTTCATGAGAGTCGAAAGTGGAAATAACCCCAGAGTCCACCCTCTGAAAAATGAATAAACAAAATGGCATATATCCATACCGTGGATGGTTTTTCACCCATAGGAAAGGAATGAAGTACTGGTATAGGCTACAACATGGATGAACCTTGAAAACATTATACTAAGTGAAAGGAGCCAGTCACAAAGGACATGTATGATCCCATTTATATGAAATAACTAGAAAAGGCAAGTCCATGGAGACAGAAAATAGACTAGTAGTTGCAAGGTACAGATTGAAGCGGGTACTGGGGAGTGACTGCTATTTCATATGGGATTTCTTTTGGGAGGAATTAGATCTTTTTGTTCTGGAATTAGATCATGATGATGGTTGCACTATTTGTGAATATACCAAAAAACAAACACTGAATTGTACAGTTTCAATCGGTAAATTCTGTGCTATGGAAACTATATCTCAATAAAAAGCATATTTTTTAAAGTAAAAATGCTAGCATGCTGCACCCCACAGCAGTACTCCTCGCGGGCTCACCTTTTTATCTGCAGGCGCAGTTCAGTACAGTCCTCCGATAACTGGCTGTTAGCTTCTTCCAAGGCTTCCAATGCCAACTTGAGCTGATTATTTTCCTCCTCCAATTTCTGCTTGTTGAAATGCAGCTCTTCTAGATAGGTAATCAAGCCAGACATCTCTCTGCTGAGGAAATAAAGAGAATAGATAATCTTCAACATGTCTAATGCCTTCCAACCAAAATAAGGCATAGAGTTAAGCCCTAACAGGTTTAAATATTCCTGCAAGATTTTCTACTTTATCATCTTCTATCCTCATTAATTGAGTTTATTTATACAATAAATATTCATTCAAGCATCCCTTATAGCATCAAAGATTAGTCTAAAATTGTCAAGTATGCATCAACTTGCACAGTTTTTGTTTATTTCTTTCCACTTCACTCCCAACTTTTGTATCCATATACACTGGCGAGTTCCTATTTTTGCCTGTGTTATGGAAGATCTTGAAATAAATGGACATATTGCTCTCTCAGTCAAGGGATAAAGGCAGGTTTTAATAGGCCTTTAACTAAGAAATAGTTCCTGGAGTTTTACATTTGTATCTTATTCCTCTCAACTTAATGTTCATGTTCCCTAATATTTTCTACAGCTTTTTAATGTTTGCAGGTGTATCTCTCACCATCAATATTAGATCACAAATCCCATGAAAGTTTGGATTGCATATTTCATGGAGTCCCAGGTCTCCTCTTCTTCTTTGCTATCTTACCACAGGTCTTAGCAAAGTTTGGGTAGAAGGATTTTAAACCACCTTTTGCATGATGAAATCTGAAGTGGTGAAGGTAAACTAAGGGAGAGACAGCATCATCTCTCCCTAATATCTAAAAACACATTTAGCCAAAAAACAGCTTTTCTTTTTAAGATGTGCTTTAAAAATAGTACCTTACCACATGATCTCACTCATTTGTGGAATATAAAAAACATTATAAACTGTTGAACAAAAATAGAGGCAAAGAAGCATCGAACAGACTGTCAAACTATAGCAGGAAGGCAGGGGAGGGTTGAAGGGGTAAGAGATCAACTGAAGGACTTATATGTATGCATATAAGCACAACCAATAGACACAAGACATTCGGGGGATGGGAGTGAGGGCAAGTGCTGGGGAGTAGGAGAAGCCAGGGGTGGGGGGAGAGGTCAATGGGGGAATAAAGGGAGACATATGTACTACTATTTGTAATACCTTAAACAATAATAAAAAAAAGTCCCTCAAACAAAGAAGTTGTATGCATATATGCATAACCCATGGATACAGACAATAGGGTGGTGAAGGCCTGGGGCAGGGGATGGGGATGGGCTAGAAGGGATGGGGGGGGGAGGGGTGAGACATATTTAATACTTTCTATAATAAATATATTTTTTAAAAATAACCCACTAAAGAGCTAAAAGTCAATGTCATAACTCTACTTCAAATAAGACTTGTTTTCCATGAAAAACACATGATGTCAATGAAGGAGAAGGGTTTCATAAGTGAGGAAATGTTCATTTATGTCTCATATCAGAACTAGTTTTACCAGTTCTAATGCAATTCAAATAGAATAGTTAATAGTTAAAAATAAATGGTGGCAGCACTGCCACACACACAAAAAGGGCTAAGTGACTTCATCATAAGTAAAATACATAAATCTATAAAATAAATAATAAATCTTGGGGCATGTGAGAAAGCATTACAGCTATGAATGCTTACAAGATTCCTCTAGACATGTCTCCGCCCAAAGCCTCGAAGTTCCCTGATGCAGACTCCGTTATATCTGTGAGCATCTTAACTGAAACACATACAAGAGAGATTAATGAGAAACCCACTTCTCCAAACCACAAGAAAGTGGCAGAACAATCGCAAGAAAACCCATACATACATGCTCTCCCTGATTTTATTCTGTCCTGGTAAAGAGTAGAATCATTCATGATGCTGCCTGGTCCACTATTTACTCCCTCACTGTAGCAAAACAAACAAACAACAACAAACAACAACAACAGCTAAAACCAATGAACTAGTCTTTGCCAGAACAAAGCTTAGCTACCTTTTCAGATGTACTCTGTACTTTCCTATTCAGGTGTTTGTTTCTGGATTTTAAAAACTCTATTCATTCAGTAACTAAAAGGTGCTTAAATAGGGTAATAGAAAAGAAATGTATAGCATTCATTCCTTTCACCTTCCATAATCTTTTAATTTAACATGGAAAAGAAAATAAGAAAATTCACACAAAAAAGAGAAAAGTTAAAACTATCATGGACAATATAATGATTTTGGAATATATTCTTTTCAACTTTTTCCTATGCATATTTTTTTTACAAATATGGGATTACACTGCATATATGAATTAACTGCCTATTACTTGAAATACATGCATATATATGAATATTTCTCTTGTCAAATATTTATCTAATCATAATTCTGAGTGATTAAAATTATAGAGTATTAAACTATTATAATCTATTTGTTCAACTCTGTTTTTAAATATTTAGGTTGCTTATATTTATCACTATCAAAAACAGCATTCTACACATATATTAGAGTACATAATTGGTTCTTTTTCTTAAATTTACATTACTAGCTTGAATATATCACATATTTTAAGGGTTTATATGCATTTCTAAATTGCTCATTAAAAAAACTATACCAACCTGCACTACTACCAATAATGTATGAGGATGGGCTTAATTCTCCACCTGCTCTGACAACATGAGAGAGAGTGATTCTTTTATAGCTTTGCTAAATCAATGGGAGAAAATGTCTTTATTTGCATTTCTTTGATTACTAGTAAGATTAGATATCTACACTAATAAAAGAGAAAAATGCAAATTGATCATCACTCCGCTATGCTACCGGCCAATAGGAGTGAATATGCAAATGACCCAACAAATTGGCTATGTCCATAATGGCCAGATGGCTAGCACTCAGCAGCCCCAGAACCCCCCCCCCCCCCCATGGTGGCACTGGGGCTGCAGGGACCTGATCAGGGACACAAACCCGCAGGGAGGCCAATAGCCAGCAGCCCCAAGACCTGCCACCATGTTGGTAGGACTGCTGGGGGGTGGGAGGGGGTGGGGGCAGAGGAGACATAAACTCACAAAAACCCTGTAGAAAGGGAGATAAACTATCATAACTTTATCTCTATTTCCACAAGTTAAGAAAACTGGCCCTGGTTTATTTAGTGATGTGGCCCACACCTTTCTACAAGCACAGGGTATGTTATGACAACTGCCAGGAAGGTCTAGTCAGAATACTGACTCCAGGGAATAATGCTACTGTGGCAAATCATCTGAGAGAGGAAACAAGCTTTTGTTGGGTTTATTCTAAAAGTCAGAGAACTTGCCACCCCAACATTTGCTGTGTTATTATATTGATGATCTTGAGCTGCAGATACTTGAAAAACAGCAAATGTATGCAGAGGCTATCACTGAAGTCTCCTGATCTGCCTAAAATCGGACCCCCCCAAAGGAGCTTAAATGTCATAGGTCCCCTGGATGGGAGAAGTGTCATCAGGCAGAGAAAACTGACTACTATCATAGTACAGGAGAGTAGAAGTTGACATCACACCCAAACTTTGTTACAAACTATTTCCCTCCACCACCATTCATCTTTCCTAAATATCATTTACTCTACTCTAAGAGGCCTATATCTCCCGTCCCCTTTCCCTAGGAAGAAGGTATATAAATCTGCATTCTAAGCCATCTTGAGGAGTTACTCATTTTCCCCTGAGATCTCCCACATATACACAAGGTACACATGTTAATGAACTTTTGTTTTTCTCTTGGTGATCTGTCTTTCATTACAAGGGCCTCCACTAAGAACTCAGAAAGGTAGAGGAAAACTATTTTCCTCCCCCTAATTCTATCTCAGGAAATCAAGTCCCCAGCTGAACACTGAGGCTGGCTCAAGTACCAAGCAATCCTGGCTGATGGTAGGGAAGCTTTTAGGGAGAAATCAATGATATTAGCATCCAAGTGGGACAGAAGGCACATGCATGGTTGATGGTGGGATTTTAAAATGGTTCAACATTTTTGGATGATGATTTGGTGAATTCGATAGAAATGTTCAAGGTACGTCTAAGAGTCTTCTACTAGGAATCACATCTGCTGCGATAAAGCACAAGCACATAAGCCCTGGTCAGAACCCAGGATGTTACTGCAACCTCCCCTTCCACGATAGGAAAACTTGGGAACAACCTGCATTTTTAGGACAAGGTGGCATCCATATTAATAAAAGAGTAATATGCTAATTAGACTGAACATCTTTCAGATGAACTTCCAGATGTTCTTCTAGAAATCCTTCCCAACAAAGCCATGTAGGCAGGGCCAAAGCAGAGGATGTTAGAGGCAGAGGCGGTTAGAGGTGATCAGGCATGCAGGGGAGAGCAATTAGGGTAATCAGGCCAGCAGGAGAGAGCAGTTAGGGAGATCAGGCTGGCAGACAGGTGAGCGTTTAGGAGCCAGAGGTCCTGAGGGCTTCCAGATTGGAGAGAGTGCAAACTGAGCTAAGGGAGCTCCCCTTCCCATGCATGTATTTTGTGCACCGGGCCTCTAGTTTTTATATATTTATCTTGCGTTCATGATTAACTCACGTATGTCAAACACCAATTTTGGTAATCTTTTCTTAAGTCAGTGGTTGGCAAACTGCGGCTGGCAAACTGCAGTTTGCTGCTCTGTTAACTGAGTTTGCCAACCACTGCTGTAAGGCATTATCCTTACCCAGAAGTTTTGACGTCAGATTAGACATTAGTAAATTAAAATGTTTTTTTAAGTTTTTTTCCCTACGGCAATGGTCAGCAAAGCCATTAGTCAACAGAGCAGCAAACCACGGCTCATGAGCCACATGTGACTCGCAAGCCGCAGTTTGCCGACCACTGTCTTAAGTCATCGATACATCTTAACCTTATGTGAAATCTAGCAAGTTTTACCACTCTCTGAGCTTGAAGTTTTCTTTAAGTAAATCCCTAGTACCTATCAGTTGATAGCTAAAGTTTGGTGGCTGAGTAAAAGCCACAGGAATTTCCTGTGAAGGTGACTCTTCTCCAGTATCCACCAGGAGCATCTGAGATCATGGTGTCATTCTTCATAATTTTTTTCTATCCCACTATATTTTTCTTTTCCCTTTAGCGTCCCTATATCCAAGGCTTCTAAGTTATACTTACTGCCTAAACAACCCTACTGACCTCAAAAGGATGTTCACTCTGAGTGTAAGTGCATTTGGAGATTTGGTAGTCATTATCAGTAATTTGCTTGACTCCTATGTCAGCTCAATTCTTTTTGAGAACATAATATGTGCTGCCCCCTAATCACAAAAAATAAATATTATCAAAAATAACATAGTTAACATAGTAGGTACTCAAAGAGTGCCCAGCATCAGCATCACCAGGAAACACAGAAATGCAAATTATCAGGCTTCACCCCAGACCTACTGAATCATGCCAGGGATGGGGTAGGGGCATTGGCCAGCAATCAGGTACAAGATTGTTCAGGTGATTTCAATGCATGCTCAAGTGTGAGAAGCACCAGATCACAATATTTCCATCCACAAAGAAAACAGTGATCGTAATAAGTTGTTAAAACAACCTGAAAATGTTTTCAGCTGAGGGCCATTTGATTCTACGGCAAGCCATCCATTCTTTCATGATGGCATGGAAAGTTTCCAGATCCACATGCAGGCCTCTCCTGTCAGGATCAAGCATGTTCCATAGCTCCTCAAAGCCACCATCTTTAGAATCTTGACAAGTTATTTGTCTGAGGTAATCTATTACTTTGACAATTCTTATTGAGCCTTAGGAAGAGAAAAGGCATATTAGTTTTGAAATATGGGTTAAGAGTATCTTATATAATAAAGAGGTAATACGCAGATTGACCATCACTCCAACAAACAAGATGGCTGCTGCAAGATGGCCAGCAGGGGAGGGCAGTTAGGGGCAACTAGGCCAGCAGGAGAGGGCAGTTGGGAGCAACCAGGCTGCAGGGAGGGCAGTTGAGGGGGGGCCAGGCCAGCAGGGGAGGGCAGTTGAAGGTAACCAGGCCTGTAGGGGTGGATAGTTGGGTGTTACCAGGCTGGCAAGGGAGAGCAGTTAGGAGTGACCAAGCTGGCAGGGAGGGCAGTTAGGGGTGACCAGGCCAGCAGGGGAGGGCAGTTGAAGGCGACCAGGCCTGCAGGGGCAGATAGTTGGGTGTGACCAGGCCAGCAGGGGAGGGCAAATAGGGGCAACCAGGCTGGCAGGGGAGCAGTTAGGAGGTGATCAGACTGGCAGGTAGAAGTCATTAGAGGCAATCAGGCAGGCAGGCAGGTGAGTGGTTGGGAGCCAGCAGTCCTGGATTGTGAGAGGGATGTCCCAGACTGGAGGTGGTGCAAGTTGGGCTGAGGGACACACACACACACACACACACACACACACACACACACACATGAATTTTGTGCACCAGGCCTCTAGTATAAATATATTCCAAATAAAACAAAACTATATTGAAAGAGGAAATGGTTGAAGGTTATAAAACAAATCACTAACAATGGTCACTTAAGGAAATAGGACTACTGATGGTTTTTCCCTTCCTTTTTGCTTACCTACATACTATAAATTTTCTACAATGAGTATGAATCATTCATGTACTAAAAATTACTTGCAGATATTTTAAGAAAGCAGAAGTAAAAATCTAAAATTAAAAATTTTGAGCTAAATGTGTATGTGGTTTTATACATTATGAAGTATTTCTTCCGTGGCAACACCTATGACATGTCATTAGTTCCATCAATAATTGGAGCTTGTAATTAGTTGGTAAGCTCAATAAAATAATTCAAAACATTGGTAAAACATGCAAAAAACACACAAAGAAATTATAAAGACACAACCAATACCTTAATAGCCATCTTACTCTCAAATTAGGTTGCAGCCACCTCGTGTGTGGAGATAGGTCCACAGGGCACCACAGGTAAGCCATTTTCCTTTCTCTCACAGTAGAAAGTACAAGGACTTGATGAAAACCACAAACATTTCAGCAGGTAATTTTCAACTTACCGCTGCAGTTTGTGTCACATGCATGAAAAACACGTGTGAAGAACTCTTCACAGGTCCTGTTAATACCCGTTAATCATCTGTGTCTGGTTGCCATCATATTAGATGAAATCCAAAAATGCTTTTCTGGGCTACAATGATTAACTATTTTTTTTTAATTTTAATAAAGAAAACATTTAAATAAACAGCAACACATAGTACTGGTTACTTAAATAGGCCAGGCAAAAGAGTGGACTTGTAAGGTCTATTATTCCCTTTTTCTTTTTTGTTTTCTAAAAGTAGGATAAAATGATAGATGAATGAGAGGGAAATGAGGTGGTTTTTTTTTTAATATTAAAAGAACTCTGTGAAAAAGCAAGTAGTATCACAAATAGAAAAGTAGAGGGAAAGAAGAAACTTAGCTATACAGAATGTATGTCACTTTACACTGCTTTTTCACTATTTTGTTTTTCAGTGCCTTTCATATAATGGACTCTGTAAGCAATCTCCTAGGGCCCTGGTTGGCAAACTGCGGCTCTCGAGCCACATGCAGCTCTTTGGCCCCTTTAGTTTTTAGCAAAGGCCAGTTTAGGAGCACCCTAATTAAGTTAATACCTACCTATATAGCTTAAGTTTAAAAAATTTGGCTCTCAAAAGAAATTTCAATCGTTGTACTGTTGATATTTGGCTCCGTTAACTAATGAGTTTGCTCACCACTGCCCTAGGGCTTAATCACAAGGAACAACAATAACCTGTAATTATTGGAATTGAGAGTCTAGTCTAGGGGTGTCGAACTCAATCAGAGAAGGGGCCAAAATCTAAAATCCAGCCTAAATTGCGGGCCAAATGGTTTACTGAACAGTCATAAACTGTCATTGTGATGGAAATGCAGCGGAGTGCAGTGATGACAGCGCGGTGCGGGCCACATTGCAAGGCCTGGCGGGACGGATTTGGCCCGCGGGCCTTGTGTTTGACACATGTGGTCTAGTCAGTGAGGCAAATTCAGTCAACAGAGCTGCAAACCTCGGCTCGGCTGGAGGCTCGAAAGCCACATGTGGCTCATGAGCCACAGTTTGCCGACCACTGCCCTAAGCCAGTGATTCTCAACCTCTCTATTGCCTCAGTCCTTTAATAACTATAATTTTGCTACTGTTAATGAATTGTAATGTAAATATCTGTGTTTTCCGATGGTCTTAGGATCTACAGCAACAGTTCTCATTCTGTGGGTCTCAATTCATAACAGTAGCAAAATTACAGTTATGAAGTAGCAATGAAATTTATTTAATGTTTAGGGGGTCACCACAACATGAGGAACTGTATTAAAAGAGTAGCAGCATTAGAAAGGTTGAGAACCACTGCCCTAAGTGGAGTTCCAGAAATTTCTATTGAAATTGGCCTGCAAAGTTTACATTCCCCTCTGGCCTGACTTATTGGCTGTACCAGGAATCCACACTTTCTTTTTACATGTTTTATTCTCACAAAATAACTAACTTAATTAATTAATTAGTTACTTTTAAAATGCTAAAATGCTAGTTTTTAGCAAGGCACATGGGAACTATATGAATTTTAACTCCCCTGGCTCTATGTATTCCCATCATGACATTCTCATTTGCCCTGGAGAAAGTTTGTTTTCAGGTCAGTAGAGAAATACCAACAATTATGATTATAAATACAACCTAGAATTTGTATGAGGTTTTCACTTGAAATCATAGAAAATACAATTTACATATAAAATCTTCTTTTAAGACAGAAAAAAAATTAAATAGGGAAAGATAGATGTTTCTATCCAAGCTTTAATAATGTGAATTGGTGTGTGTGTGTGTGTGTGTGTGTGTGTGTGTGTGTGTGTGTGTGTGTTTTAGTTTAGGTATCCTAAAAGCAATATGTTTATTGCTTTATTGAAAGAACATTAAAAGGTGAATATTTACCATCTTCATTCAGAGACAATTTTTTTACCACTGAGTCCCGAGGAGTAAAAATTTCAGAGCTTTGATCAGAGGTGGAATCAAAGTCAAGTTTTAAGATACGAAAGTGATTTTCGATCTCATAGTAATTCAAATCCTTGCTAGAGAAGGACTTCCGCATTCTGGTCTGTGATGCCAGCGATGGGTCATTCTGAGAGCTCTGTGATAGCCTTGAGACGTTTTCAGAACGCTTGAGGGTGGAGTAGGTTGCATTCTCAGGGGAGCTGAGCTGAGAGACGGATGGGGTTCTCGGAGACCCTGTTTGGGGAGATGAGATGAGCGCATCTTCTTTCTCAGAAGCTGAGAAGTGCGTGTTGGGTGTAAGAATGTGAGCCGCAGCGGTTTTCTTCAGTATCCCTTCAAAGTCCTTCCTGCTGTTATCCTGTGGCCTATCAAAATTACCGGATTGGTACTTGATCATCTGTTGACTCTGATTGGAAAGCTCTTCCCTCTTTTGGATGGCTCTGATTTTCCTACAGATGCTCTCCACTGGGTTATGGCGCCTCTCACTGCCCTTCATTGTAGAGGCCATCGCTGACATCCTCACCTTCTGTGGACAAAATGGCTAAAGTATAGGCAGAAGCAGACATGTGTCTTAAAGTCAGCATTGCTAACTACAGTTTAGCGATGGGCTACTTATTCTTAAGTCAGCTTTGGAGGGATCAAGACATCTTTAAATAACTGTCCTTAAACAGTTGCTTTAAACAACTTTCCATGAGTTCAACTTCGGCACTCAAATTTCTAGAAAATATTAAGTTAACATATTATGTATAACATATATATTAGAGGCTCCAGTGCATGAATTCATGCATGGGTGGGGTCTGGCCAGCCTGGCCAGAGGGAGGGAACATGGGCAATTGGCTGGCCTGCCTGCTGGTTGAACTGGTCAAGGGGACAATTTGCATATTAGCCTTTTATTATATAGGATATACACTGAGTGGCCAGATTATTATGCGTTCAGAGAGCATAATAATCTGACCACTTAGTGTAGATCCAGAAACCACGAAGCATGGGACAGACTGATAAATCTCACAGAGAAGGGGTGGGGAATAGGAAGAGATTAAACAAAACACTTATATGCATGTAGGTATAACCATGGACACAGGCAATAGTGCAGTGAAGACTGTGGTGGGGGTAGGGTGGAGAGGGTCAGTGAGAGGAGGACAGGAGGGACATCTGTAATCCTCTCAACAATAAAGGTAATTTTTTAAAAGTGTTCCTAGCATATAGGACACACATATCTATTTGCTTTTCCAAGGCATTTTTCTCCTACCATCTGTTTTCTGAACTTCCATAACTCACCTAAGTGAGTCTGCTCCACAGTTTATAAACTAAACCTTATAAAGAGTACACTCATGAGCTAACAGAACTTTACAAGATTCACTTGTTTTGCTTTTTCTAATATAGAGCAGAGCATTTGTGGGAGTCCAATAAGTACAATGCGATGATAAAAATTTCAAAATTTGTGCTACTTTCTCCATATAGGGCCTGGAAACATCTCCTATCTGTCCTGTCCAGGCCTCTTTTTCAGCTTTAGTTTTAGATTAGCTGCAATCAGCCTAACACTTAAAAATACAAGTCTACCTTAATTTGTGCAATAACTGTCTGGAAAAAAATACTCACTGGAAATTAAAAACTGAAAGGTAATTGTACCAGCAGAATCAGTTGCTTGGAGTTTCTCTTTTAAAGAAATTTCCTCCTTATTTATTCATTTTACCAGTAGTTGATTCAATAATTGCTACGTAGAGATAATACACTTGTAGAAACCTCAATGGCAAGAATTCTTATTTTGGCACTCTGTATCATTCATCCCTCTAGGCATTCAACCAATACTTATTTAGTATTATATATAAAGAGTGCAAAACCCTATGCAGATACTGGAGGTACAATGATGGGCAAATGCTCTCCTAAAACTTGTACTCTTTGGGAGATGCAGATATGAGCAAGTAAGTCAGCAGGATCACCAGATTAAATCCAGGATGCCCAATAAAATTTGAATTTCAAATAAACAATGGCTATTCTTTTATCATAAGTATATCACAAAAGTTGCATAGGAAAAACTTATATGGAAAAATTATTTGTTGTTCATCTGAAATTAAAATTTCACTGCATATCTTATATTTTGTTATCTAAATCTAGCAACCCAAAAGCCTGCACATAAATAATTGCACACTGGGGAAAAAAGGTGCCAGGGACTATGAGAACATATAAGAAGGGGTTATTCTGGTTTGACAGTGAAGATAGAAAAAAATTGAGGGCATCTATTATGTGTCATGCACTGTGCTATACATATTGTTTGCTAAATCCATGGTTATAGACAGAAAATTGAAAAGTAGAACCATAAATCTCATCTGGATTCCCATCAGCTAAATGTAATATAAAAGAATGTTAGAGATTATCCAAACCGATTTTTCACCTACTTAATATGATTTATCCTACTGATTGAACTATGACTCATTCTAATTTCTACAATTGGAGTTATGTTGTTATTATTGCCTGAATTGCTTTGTTGTTGCAGTAAAAGCTCTTGAATCAATAATTTTCAAACATCTCCCTGATATAAAACTATAAAGCAATAACTAAAAGCCACAAAGCAATAATGAAAACTCTCTGGTGCATGGCAGCATAAAACAAGTTTGATTTGTTTCTTACCTAAACTTAGGTTACTTAATACACATCCCATTTCCACCTGTGATGTAACTGCTGCATTCAACATTAACCTCAAAGAGTTCTGCACTCTTTGAAACTTATAGAAATCTACATTTGTCCTGACTTCCCAAGAAGTAGTCAATAGGTTAGAATAAATTCACCATGTGTGTACAGTATAGACAGCATTTCATATTTTTTTAGGAATTTACAGACAAACATAAGATCATTGCATTTTTCAACACCCATAGCCTTCATTCACTAAAAAAATAGCTGAGTTTCTTTGCAAAGAAAAACATATGCTATAGACAGATATAGAAAAAATAGAATCCTTGAAAAAGTCAGCAGATTCAAAAAGATCTTTGAAAAGCCTGAATCAAACTCAAACTAAAAAAAAAGTTATGTTGACGATTTTATCATATTTCTTTTACCAGCCATTTACAATGCTCTCCCTTTACTAACAGTTGTTTCTTAAACATTGAACTTACAAACTTTAAATTAGGTCATTTACTTGAACAATCATTCAATTTTTAATTAGGAAATTCAGGCAAAACTTTCACCTAAATGAATTCCACTTGGTGATTTAATTAAGGCAAAACCCTTAATCAATGTATGTAAATATGTGTGTGTGTATATATATATATATATATATATATGTATATATATATATATGTCTCTGTGCACAGGCATACCTTGAAGATATTGTGAGTTCAGTTCCACACCACCGCCACAAAGGAAGTCATAATCTTTTTGCTGGTGGAGGGTTTTGCCTTTAATTTGTAAAAACAAAACAAAACACAACATCCGTGAAGTGCAATGAGGCAAAGCGTAAGAAAACCAGGTATTGCCCTACCAGTTTGGCTCAATGGATAGAGCATCAGGTCCTATCTTTGATTCCGGTCAAGTGCATGTACCTTGGTTATAGGCACGTCCCCAGAAGGAGGTGTGCAAGAGGTGTGCAGGAGACATCTGATTGATGATGTTTCTTACTCTCTATCCCTCTCCCTTCTTCTCTGTAAAAAATCAATTTAAAAAATTTTTTAAAAAGAAAACCAGGTATGCCTGTGTGTGTGTGTATATATATATATATATATATATATATATATATATATATATAACACCAAGGGATTCCTTTTGCCAAAAGAGCCCCTTACTAGCAATTAAGTGCCAGCAAACTCTTCACATAAGAAGAAACATCTGTTCACTGAGATGTTCCTAGGAAACTGGTCTTCAGCTAGCCCAGTGGGAGAGCACAGCATGGCTTTCTACTTAGCCAGTGTGTTTTACATTTGCCAAAGTACACCATCTTCAGTCTCTTTGCGACTTGAATTTAATGTGATAAACTAATAACACTTACTTTTTCCTGCCTTCTGTAGGAGAGATGATAGCAGCTGTTAGAATGATTTGCAAACCACAAGTTCCAGATTAAGCAATGCCCAGCAAGGCTGCCATCTGAAACCCTTTTTGATTACTAATAAATGCAAGCTGGTATAGAGTGAAACCCTCTCCTCCCACCATCCCCTTCACCTTGTTATAGTAAGCGCCTTGGCTGGGTCACACCAGACTTATTATAAGCATCTCACATTGGAACAATTCCTTAAATAGCACAGTCACACATATGCTTCTGAAAACTGACTGTGTTCTTCTGTTTCAGTTCTTATTCTGTGAGGTCCGCTTTTCTTCTCAGAAACCAGGAGAAAATCTATGATACCTAAATCTCTGACGCCAAGCACTCAGGTGCTTTCAGATTCTTACCGTCAAAACCACATAACCAGCTCCCACTAACACATTCCAAACCATTAAGGCTGAAAATGACAATTTAAGACTTTAGTTATCTAAAAGCCTTTTTGGAGCCGAAACTGGTTTGGCTCAGTGGATAGAGTGTCAGCCTGCGGACTGAAAGGTCCCAGGTTCGATTCCGGTCAAGGGCATGTACCTTGGTTACAGGCACATCCCCGGGGGGGGGGGGGGGGGGTGCAGGAGGCAGCTGGTTGATGTTTCTCTCTCATTGATGTTTCTAATTCTCTCTCCCTCTCTCTTCCTCTCTGTAAAAAATCAATAAAATATATTTTAAAAATAAAATTAAAAAAATAAAAGCCCCTTTGGAAACAACTCCAGGATTTGCCTGTGGGGAAAGATACATTTCTGGGGAACATAGCTTTATCGCTTTCAGCCACCCATCTTTCCCCAATTTTTCTCAGTGTTTTGGTTTTATTCCTAGATGTCTTTCAAGATTCCAATGAACTTGGAATGTAGACTGATATGGAAGGTTTACCTCATTTGCCACAGGCGTGTTGAGCTTGGGTTAGGAATAAGGAGACAATAGAGAGGCTACATCTGGGACTGCTTTTCCCTGTTTAGGGCAGGACTTACTTGTTCCACCATAAAATGACCAAGGGTGACAGCATCCACCAAAATTTACTTCCTTTGGGGGAAACTTACCACCTGACTTTCACTTCACCAGCACGCCAAGAGAACCATCTTCGGAAAACTGAGCATGGGGAATGGAGGCCTGGGGGGTGGAAATCAGGTGGTGTGGGTAGAGCTAACTTCCGCAGGGTTATGTGGAGTGAGGTGAAAGGCCGAGGCTGGAGAACAGAGAAGCTGCTGATGACCTGCACCTGCCTCTTTAATTTTAGCCAAGATCATGAGAAGATGGGTGTGAGGGAAGACACGTGGGAGGAATGAGGACAACCCCTTTGGGTGCATCCATGCCATTTGGGGGCACTCCCACTGAGGCCATCACAATGAACTGAAGATCACTCAGAATATACTCTTTAATGGGGATGAAGGGAAAAGTCATTTTTTAAGTTAAATGTCTTACAGTCCTATTGGGCCAGGTGTTGCATGGTTTCTAAAACATTAATGCTATTAACCATTGCCTTT